ACATTCCCAGAAGCCTGGGTGTTCAAGTGTGTGTCTCCACCTTTCTGGAAACGACGTTGTGCAAGACTGTTCGACTGGGGTTCACAACCTGTGAAGCAAGCCTGCCGTCAATCTGGATCCAAATGTAAGTAGGAGACATGCCATTGAATGCCGGCCTTCATCTGACTCGACGACAAATGATTCTGCTTTCCAGAACTCTTCTGTCTGTACTCACCCTGTGCCTGCAGACTCCACATGTGTCTGCATGAGCGGGGGTGCTGCTAGCTTCACTTGAATCAAACGTGTCTTCAGGGGACGGAGCGGTGGCTTGGGAGCACCGTGTTGGGCTATGAGAAGCAATGTGCCTTGATCGGATTGTTGCCAGGGAAAATTCAGGTCAGGCCCATGTTGCATAGGCTCCTTTTGCGATTCTGCTTGACCCGAGGATGTCCAGAAAATCTGGCACACTCTTTTGCTGACGCTCACACAACAACTTTTATCTAGCTTAGACTAATTCTGTCGCGCACTACTGCGCCCAGAATAATTCGCCAAGTCCAGACGACTCATTCGCAGGGGAAGTAAGCTGAAGTGGAGAGCCATACAAACAGCTGTAGTGATATTCAAGAGACTGTAGAACAAAATATTGCCTCCAGAGGATGAGTCGTGTGGAATTGCTAATACTTCCTCAATCTTCTCCTCACGCACGCATCTGACTTCAGACGCAGAGTTGCGCGAAGCCTTAGGCAAGCCGTGACGTGCCGGGAAAACAAGGCATGTGCGGCCTGAATGGAAGGTTGCCTCAGTTGGTTCTCGGTGCACGAGCAGCCACTCCCTCTGACTCGGTAATTTGCAGCTGTATAGGCTGTAGATGGCTATAGAATGCATCGGATGCATCATGTCTAGTATTTTCAGATCCCAGATTTAGTTTCTTCAACAGTAGGTTCGCAGGCATCGCAGGGTTTGGTCTGAATAGGGTGACGTCAGATGCCAGCATTCTCACTCAAGCAGGGCCTGAGGCCTTCGCGACCGGGGTTGGATGGTTTCTCCGAGCTATGACACACCTGGCGTCAAGCGCCGCAAAAGTATCCTCGTAACAGAGGTGCTCGTGTTTGTTTTTTAGGGCTGAGACTTCGCCGCCGCTTCTTCGCTTCGGAGAGGCTTTGGACCTCATCGACCAGGCCCAGTCTGGCTCTGGCGACGTCGGGCAGGATGAAGTGGAGACGCTCCTGGCCGCCATGGGTCCGGAGCTCTTCTGCAGAGACCTGAGACGTGACGTCGCGCTTGTGGCACTGCGAGGCCTGTCGGATGAGGATGCCAAGAAGGTCCTCCGGGCCGTTTTCAATGGGCGAGAGAAGACCACTTACGAGTCTGTGACTGATGCAATACTGACACTGACCAGTGTCACGGAGAGCAACCTTGAAACAATGATCGGGCGAGCGCTCTGTCTGCAGAGCTTCTTATTCAGATTCACTTGCGTGCAAGTGCCATGTGCACACCGGCGTGTATAACGGAGCACATGATCCGGCCAAGTTTTGCTGGTTGAGTTCTTGACTAGGTCCACGGTGTTGAAGACCTGAGGTTTCGCTGTTCAAGAGGGCATTCCGCAAGATCGACGTCGACGGCAATTCGAAGTTGAGCTTTGGAGAGGCGCGTAGTGTGTTAAATGTGCTCATGTCAATAAATTGCTCGAGTGTGCTACTGCTGGAAGACTGTCATGTTGTGCAGCATAGTCAGTCAGAGTCAGAGCCCGTCAGATCGTTGGAATGATGGATTCTCTGCAAATGGAGAAGAAGTTTGCTGCTGACGTATTCTCTTTCTTGGATGCAGATGATTCCGGTGAGATTACCTGGCAAGAGTTCGTCCGCGGTGTCAGCGATGCTCAGTTTCATGTACGCTTTCCGCAGATTACGCTGGAAGCCTTGGTGGCCTTGCCTTCCAGCCTAGCGCGGGACAGGTATCCTGACAGCAGAATGATAAGGCCGTTCGTTGGAAGCCCCTCCGCAGATTGCATACGGCAATGAAACTTGATCCAACACGATACTCCGCCCAGGCTTGTCAGCGCAGAAGAGGAGGCTGAAGCAGTCAAAAACCTCCCGGCCGTGGAAAAGACGCTGTATTGGTTGCTGTCTTTGATGTATGGTCGGTCTTCCCCGAACCGTATAGCTCCAATGGAGGAGGAGGAGGACCTGAGCAGTGGCCCCAGGCTACAGGATTCCCAGGATTCCGAGCCGCTGCCTGGCATGAAGTTGCCATGGTTCGCATCTGAAAGATCGGAAAAGAAGGATGCGAATGAACTCAGCCCCAGCTGCAGCTCGAGTGATTCAGAGCTGACGGCAACGACCAGTGAATCATCCCATGCACCCACGGAGCATGACGTGACAGCGCCGTGGCCAGACTCACCATACGCCGTGAAGTCGCGCAAGGTGCCGAAGGGCGAAGGGTGACTGGTCGTAAGTTCAGTCATTGTGAGCTTGAACATCCGCCCACCCGCCTCCATGACCTGCAGGAGCGAGATGTCGTGGTGATTACAAGGAAGCAGCCGAAGAACCCCGACAAGGCTGTTTTTTTTTTGTCTTTCCCTCTCCTTGGCTTTCTCTCTCGCCGAGGTGTGTTTTTCTTCGTTCTGTGCTCGTGCCTGCTGACCCTCCCCCTATGGACCCACACCTGGTTATTTTATATATTTTTATTTTTATTTGTGTGTGTGTTTCTGAGTAGTACGGCATGATGAGTATCGCGTTTATGAAGCATAGTGCCACACCGTCTGCGTAAAAAACTGTATACGATAGACCACAGGGTCATAGGATGATTGCAGGCTTGACAAAGGGACGTCTTGATAAAGATATGGGAAATGGCTCATGGGGTGGACAGCGTAAGAACACGAGCCAAGCAAGTTTTGCAGCAAAGAGATTGCAGGAATATCGAAAAAGTCCAAACACCCCAGCAGGTAGATACTCTCACAGGGAATAGAGCTTTAACTATGCTTTAACTTCAACCATGGCAATGCTTGGAAGCCCCCCTCACCAGAAGCTGTAATCTATTACAACTTAGTAAACAGCTTCTGCTGGAAACCTCAGTGCAAAGCCAGATGTTTTTGAAGATGGTATCACTTTTCAGAAGTCTCGTATGCGACACACTCATTTGTTTGAGCGAACACTCAATGCATCAGTTGGTTGCTACGTTCTATTGAAAGGTCGTCAACATCCTTTGGACTGAAAGTGAACTACGACGGATGCATCGACCTCCCAGCTAGTCTCCATGTTATGTCAGTCAGATTGCTCCAGATGGGCCAGCCAAGACACTGCTACACGTTCAGAGACATTACTGTTTGGGCTGGCATGTTCCAGCGGAGCGCGAAATTTGCGATTAGACTTGGCGACTGTGCAGGGGAGTCCATGGCTTTCAACACAGAGCGCTTCGCAAGATTCGTGCCAAACCATCAACATTGACAGAGAAGAGACTGCAGGGCAATCATCGTTGCAAGTTCGGACAGTTCAGTGGCACGTGCAAAAGAACCAGCAAGAGGTTTCGGCCAGATTCTTCGGTTTCGTGCGGTCCTCATGCAGCTTTCGGTTTTGATGACAAACGTATATTAGTGACATGATTAGTGTGTATATTAATACAAGTATATTGAGCATGGTATCTCGTATACTGTACATTCTGGACCGCAAGTTGTCTGGTGTATGTTGTAGATGCATCGTAGACTGTAGGTTGTAGACTCTTGTAGACAGTAGATTGTATCATGTATACAACTTGTATGCTGCATGTAGAAGGTTGTAGCTCGCATATTGTGTATGTAAAGGTATGTGTACATGCAAGGCTTTTGTTTCTATCTCTATAACATTTTGCTTCTGTTTCTCTCTCTCTCTCTCTGTTTTTCTGTCCGGCTCGTTCGAGGTGCCTCTCCATTTGTCTCTTTCTCTCTCTCTCTCTCTCTCTCTCCCTCCCTCCGCCAGCAATGCCACGATTGCACAGCGGCTTGAGCCTCTCAGCTTGCCTTCGGCATTGCTGTGTCTCTTGGATTGCCATCTGCAGGCGCAGCTCGCAACTCTTGCCAGAAAGAGTCGTCCAGTCATCGTAACCAGGACGCAGCCGAAGCATCCCGATCCTTGGCAGTGCTTGATGTGGTGGTCAGGTCTGGCATTAGTAGACACCTCTTGGCACCAGCTTTGCTCTTATGTCGAAAATGACATGTTGGTGCCGCTTCAATTTATGTCTCTGCTGACGAGAAGCCTTTTGCTTTGCCTCCGTCGCGTCTATGCAGTGCTGCAGGCTGCAAGTATGGAACAGAAATAAACAGAGGAATTGTCAGGACCTTTGTGTAACAACGTAGTGGAACGGTAGGTTGTGGAGGTCTCGCGCGTTCTGAGTGGCATCGTGCGAGACTCGGGAAAAAATCAAAGCTGAGGAACATGTGCGCCTGGCGATAGTGCGGCCTCCAAAGCAAGATCCTGTGGCGCTGCCGCCGGCCCTGCTCTCCACACCATCGCCTCAATCGCATGGAAAGAAAGAGAAGCCTCAGAGGCAGCGTCAGAGCCTTGAGCATCTTAGGGACCCCTGAAAATGCACATGCCTCAGGGTGCACAAAGACAGATACACGCCAGCGGCAAAAGAACATGCACAGCGCTGCGGGCTCGGTGTTTTTTAGAAATCTAGGCCCTTAGCTGCTTGGAGTTGATTTGGCGAGAGTGTAACAGAGTAGGAGAACCTTTCGTCGACGACGAAGTCCCGCAGCTCCAGAGTCAGAGACTCCAACAGGCCAGCGCTCTCGCTGCCGTCTTAAAGCCATCTGCATTCAACCGGAAGGAGGTGCCGGCTGAGAAGCCTCGAAGACCATCTTTCTCTGCCCCTGTGTGCGGTGCCCAGAAATACAAGAGCCTTCGACGAGCCGAAAGAATCCATGTTGGACAGGCAAAGTTTCGCTCGAAGAGGCAGCGTGGTCGGAGCTGCTGTATCTTCGATGTGCGGGGCTTTGCCCGCAGGGTTCTGCTTCGATGACACACTCACAACCGCTTCCGCAGTTTTGTTCCCGTCATTGCTCCGCATCCCAGGCTGCAAGGTATCGTGTTTCAGTCGAACAAGCCGCCGAAGGCACGGTCACTGACATGAGTTTTTCGACGCGAAAAAATTTTCCCGAACGAATCCAAGGCGACGATGAAGACCATGTCCATCAAGGCCTCTTGTATGTGCATACACAGCAGGAATTTGCTACAAACCGCACCCAACACACCTGCCTCTGGCCAGCACGCAGGATGCCGTCACCACGATGCGTGAGATGGAGGTGGAGGCAGACATAAGCTGTGTGCAGCATACTTGTGAACGGGTGCTTTGGCTTGACTTGATTTGAGGGTTAACGGTTAACTCCTTACGGCCTGTTGGCCATCGTGCCAGGACAGCAAAGCTCATGTTCTCACGGAGGAAAAGAGGAGAGCACTCTGGCGCTGTTCACATGCAGCGAGCTCAATGCAAAGTCCAGAGACGCGTTTTCTGAGCAAGAGTCTGGGATATCAAAGCACTCAGGGCGCAGTTCTCGCCGGCGTGATTGCGGGAGTTGGTGCTGCATTCTTCGCACAGGCGATTGGTAGTTCCCTGGTAGTTGGAGGTAATTGGTTTAGAGTTTAGGGCATTGGATGCCGGTAGAGTCCGGAGGCGCTTAACGATCTGACCGCAACCATGGTCGATGAGGAGGAAGACTGGCTAGGCAAAGGGGCTAGGCTAGTCACACCGCCCTTTTCACTCCAGACTCGTATCTGCCTTAGTGCCTTAGCAAAGTGGCCTAACGTTGAGCCTAACGTCCGTCAGCCTTCAACAGCATCGCCGGCAGCTTTTCTCTGGTCGCTCGCTCAGACTGCAGTCAGGCCGCTGCTTGAATGAACTGACGAAGCGTGCTCAGATATGGTCATTGGCCGAGATGGTCGTTTGCTGCATCGTCGCGTTCTCGGGCTCTGACTTCGGCAGCTATCTTGCCTTCAAGATCGATCTTCGACAACACGGCAAGGCATGCAGCAAACAGTCTGCGAACGTATATTACAGGCAACTGATCACTGTCAACATCTGTCAACAAATGCAGCCGTCAGGGTCAGGGCTAAAGACTTCCGTGACTTCTCAGGCTTAGCATCGTGGCTCCAAAGGGGTCGCGGGTCGTGATTCTGTTGCAAGCACGCTGCCTGGGCCTGTACGTCGCTCGTTGCGCTAAGTCCTCGAAGCTTCCAAAGGCGGGCCGTTTCAATTGAAACCTCGCTCAAGGGGTGGGGGCGGAGGAAGAGAGAATGTGCAGTCACGGCAAACATCCTAAGGGCCGATGCTGTCGTCTTTCATTGACATCCGCGCAAGGTAAAAGTTTGGCATCTGTGCATATGTGGAACTTAGAAGTCGTACGGTCATAGTCGTACCTGCTGCGTGAAGAGTCTGGCAGCATGTCAAACGTTTGCTGCCCCGTTTGACGGTCCAGCTGTCCGCTGTCTGCTGTATCTTCACAGCACAGCCTCTGTTCACACTCAGGCCGCCCTTGTTGCAGCCGTCAGGATGACCCGCATATGTGGCATCACGTGTGGGCCCCGAGTTAAGAGCTAGAGCTAAGAAACTACGAGGCTACGAGTGCTTCTTGCTGCTCTTTGCTCTGATGTTCTCGCCGGCTCCCTGAAGGCTGGTGCCCATGGACCAGGAGCGTGCGATGCTTGCAGGATCACTTGCACGTGCAGCCCAAACCCCGGCACAAGCGATTGCTGATGACGTCATCGAAACTCCAATCGCAGCGGCCGAGGCCTTGGAGCTGGGGCATCCCAAGGTTCGAACCTTTGGGATTGACCCTCACAAGCGAGATCCGGCCTCAGAGCGGAGACGGCTGCTGACATAAGCGCGACTAGAATCGAGTCGAGGCCAGCAAATTTCTCCTGCTCCTCTATGCCTTGCTGCTGCCTGAGAATCTCGCTCTTGAAGCCACATGTTCAGCTTGCAATACACGGTCACGTATTGAAGCAGGATCTATATGGGCAGCCGTGGTGTCACCAAGTTTATCATCAAGCTGATTGTCAAGAAGGTGCTAAATCGAGCATGGCGGCTTCGCGCCTTCATGGATGCTTCGTGATGCGCTGTTGCATTTAGATCTTTCTGCAGGTCGCACCTCGGACATTGCTGAAATTCGCAGAGCTACTCGACCGAGAAACCATGCTTGGTCGCAGTTGTACGACAAGCGAGTATCCGATTCTGTTGCCGGTCTCGGAGGGCATATGTCAGAAATCGGGGCCGGCTGAGGATGGCTCCTTTGGTGATCGAGATTCTTATCAATGCCATACCCTTAGCCTTAGACCATGGCCAATATGTCCGTCTGTAACACTACAGACTGGCAAGCCAGAAGCTTGCTTGACCCAGGTCATGTTCAATTCTGTGACGGTCAGGCGTGGCAGGGCACGAAACCTAAACCTTCTAGGTCAAGGGTTACAGTGGGCCGCATCACTTCACCTTCGAGACACACGCCCCAGTTTTGGCATTCATGTCACATCACGGAATGCGCTCCAGTTCAGGCTTCGGGGCAGTGCTTTCGGTACCCAGATGTGTCCAGGCATCTGTCAGGCGAGCTCATGCAAAAGGCAATCGTTCACAGGGACGCGATCGAGGTATGAACAACTGCGAGGTGAAAGCTCCGATAGGCAAGCTCCGATAAACGTTTCGCTGTTGGGGCGAGTTGATCAGACGCTCCCGCACAGCAGTAGCTCTTCTGCGACTTTGGTGGATAGCTCGTGCTGATCTGCTGATCATAAATCTTTGCATTCTGCCTCCCTTGCACGAGGTGTGTATGTATTAGTAAGTAGAACATGCTCAAGAGAATACCAGCTCAAAGTTCCAGGAGTTCTTAGCGATGAACCTTGGCATACGGAGTGTTATTACCTTTGTGAAAGTCCCGGACAAACCTTGAGTTCATGATCGCCAGGTTGCGAGGCATACAGACACTTGCAAGGTACGCCATGAATGAGGTCATGGTCTGCACGCTCGGCCCCTCTGCAACCGTAGAGGCCTTGCGGAGCCTGGCACTGTTCAGCACCGGATCGGTCCCGGCTTGATTTCCGACATGTGTCAGGTGATGAGCCAGCTCATAAAAGCGCATCGGGAGAGTTGAAACTGAGCATTCGGCATCTGAAAGTGTGCGGTGAAAGTGGGCAGTGCAGAATTCTCTGCAGTCTCCAAAGGTGCTGTGGAAGAACCTTTGCCGGGGCCCTACAGCAGGAGAGAGACGGTTTTGGCATGTTTTGGCTCCATGAGCTGACTGCGGCCCACTGTGCCACGGTGATGAGCTGTGATGTGCTTTGAGGCTTTGAGAAGGTGAGCTGTGATATGCTGTGATATGCTTCGAGAGCCTTCCCTGAAAGCTGAGGTCTGATGAGCTGAAGTGCTTGGCTCTGCGAGCCGTAGGCCGCTGCTCGCCGACGCCGGTCCGATGCAGATGCTGCTAATGTGGAAGCACCAAGCAGAGCGACAGCGGAGGCGTCTCCATCACTTACAAGATGCAGATGCATCCCAACAGCCGGTGTTTGCAGCCTGGCTTAAACCTTCCTCTGTATTGGGGACTCGCTGACTTTTGCTGCATCATGTCTCCAGAAGGCTGAACCACATCGTCAACCTCTTCATAGATGATGGCTTTGTGAGTCGGGTCTGGGGCCAAGTCTAGGTACACGTGAGAGGTGGCGAAAGGGGAACACCCACTTGCCGAGAAATAGCTTTAGGCCAAAAAGGAGTACGGCCAAAGACTGGAAGTGGTGGACCTTCCGTTTTCTGCCATTTCGAACTGAGCATGTGTGGTTTTTCTGATGTGACAGGCGAAGCTAAAGCGAAAAGCCACCAAGTCCTTCTTGACCCTGCCGAGCAGCAAGGCACATTGCCGGGCGACATCGCGCAACCTCTATTCTGGTCTCACTGTTGTGCACGTGTGTGCGCGTGTTTAGGCCAGTGCCGGCACTACTGCAAGCGAAGGCGCCCCTTTCACCGCCCTCTTCATGGGGCGATCACGGGTCGGGGGTCGGGCCATCCATGCAAGTCTCACAAGATGATCGCTTCAGACCAGATGCACGTCCTCCTGCTTGCAACGAGCTGCATTCCGTTTCAGCTCAGGCGGTGGCTGCTGGAGTCGCTGGTTTCGTCGCTTTGCAGCAATGTTCGGTGTGTCAGAGTGGTCTGCTTCCGCAAGTCGCCCAGCCACTGGCCGAGGCGCCAAAGCACAGCCAGAGAAGCCTCTCGCTCGCACTAGCATAAAACAGCAAAGGAAAGCAGACGTAGAGAAGAGCGGAGAACGAGAGGAACGAGAAGACCGGGCTGGGTGCTCTCTCTGAGGCCCCAGGAGTCGCTCTACGAGGAGCTGGCGGAACTGGGCCGGGAGCCTCGCGAGCGAAGCGAAGCGAAGCGCTGAGCGAGGGCGGCCCCTTTGGGCGCGCCTCCACTCGAGGCTTGGACGACGAAGACTTGTTCTTCGACGGCTTAGCAGGCGAAGTTCGACGACGTCATTGGGTCCCAATCCTGCATTCAACAGCCTCGCTCTTCAGGATTAGAGCATCGGGATGCTCTCTTTGCCTGCTCCATGCTGCTGTTGGCACTCATGCTGGATGGTTGGAAGCTCGCTTTCTCCTTCGTGTTCATTGCGTTTGTCAAATTGGCATGTCAAGGTCGCGTTGGAAAGTCAGACTGGACGTTCATCGAACGTGCTGCCAGGCAAAGCCGCTCAGTCCTGTTAAGAGTATCGTTGTTTTTTCAGCCGCTCGATGTCATGAAGGAGTGTCAACCCTCCTCTGAAGGCGAATTGGCCGGATTCCAAGCGAAATAGGTTGATGGGCCCCAATGCTACATGCAACGTCTCGAAGATGCTGCATGCAAAGTCTCGAGGTCGGGTGCTGTTCATCTGATGAATATCTACTGTGGTGGAAGGCCGTACTGTAGTGCTCCTTTGCGAGCTTATCCTCCGGATTCTCCCAGCACCCTGTTTATCTGGTGGAAGGCAGATGAATGCGAGACTCTTCCACGATGTCTTCGAGAACGGTGAGGATGGTGAGGCTCTGCCCCAACATTGAGTTTTGGACACCATGATTCCCTCGTCGACTCCTGCTGTGGACTGCACTGTGCAGAGGCGAAGGCCACCTGCTGCGAGTTCGTGGCGCGGGGAATGCCGGCTGCTTATGGAAGTCCGAACAAGGGAGTTCTGCGGAATTCTACGAGAGGGAGGGTACTGTCTGCATGTTCCTGTAGGTATGTTTGAGACATCGGCAGCGTTACGGCTTGCAGATTTTAGGCGAAATTCGCTCAACTACATCAACTGCTGCTGAGCTTTGCCCGATGCCTCCACAAGTTCGCCTGAACCTCCTTATGCAGGGTCGGGAAGGAGTGTTGTGTTGGTCACGGCCATGCGCCAAGCCTCTGACAAGATGTTGAGGTGATCACATTGCGCACGAAGTGCTTGCAATGGTTTTGACGGTTTTCAACGCTGTAAAACAGTTTCTTGCACTTTCTCATTTTTCAGCTGCACTTCCAGGTGCTTTGGGGGACTGCGGGACCGAGGTTGCTCCTCCAAACTTGGCCAAGCAAGATCTCTGCGAAGAGTCCGTCAGAGTCCAGTGTCCTCAGCCTCATAGTTGCCGGAATGCTTTTTATAAGTCTCAGGCCGCTGCTCGAGACAGCTGCCGTTGCACGAAGGGGACCTGTCTGATGTCTGTTATACATTGGTGGACCATTCGTGTGTGGTTGACACAGATGGGTCCCAAATTAGCCACAACTTCGAGTTGTGGTTCACGACCTTCTCCATAGAGGGAAGTACGCTCACAGAATGCCAAAGGCAGTTTGGTGAAGTTTTGTGTGCCCCGATTGCTTACATCCTATCGGCAAAACCAGGACCTCCCAGGATTTCCAAGATGCATGGATCATGACGCCAGCATGCAGCATGCAGTCGTAGCCAGCAGGACGAATGATCGGGGCCTCTGGTGTTGGGACCGACCTCATCCCTTTCGGCTTCAGGCCCATTCAGACCCCCATCTCCTTCTTGCCAGTATGAAAAGGGCTCTTACCTTCCAACTAAAATGTCTGCACTTGCACATTTCGTCTTAGCCTGAACCCCAGCTAATATCTGAACAGGCCGAAGGGTTCGAAGTAACTCCGCCGGTCACGTCGCACCACGATTCTCGCGACGCAGGCGCCAGCCCAAGTCAGGATGCAAATGCCGAGACAAACTCTTGGATGGTGCTTGAGTTTCGAGGTGGTTTCTGCCAAAACCCAGCCAGAGCAAGAACTGACCTCATGTTCAGTCGCAATCACAAGCATGAATGATAGCGGTGCAGCTGTTTCAAGCTCAGAGAGCTTTGCGTCTTCGGTGCCATGTTTCGTTTTGTGTTCGCCTTCTTTGCGCGCTTGGTGCCACTTCTCGCACGGCCGAATGTGGTGTGGATCATGGCGGACGACCTGGGCTGGGGCGAAGTGGGGCTGTACCCGTCGAATTCGTCTCATGGCCGGATCGCGACGCCGCATTTGGATCAATTCGGTCGAGAAGGAACCATATTTCGACAGGCATATGCCGGATACACCGTGTGCGCTCCGAGCCGCACAGCTTTTTTTACTGGAAGGCACAGCGGCAACTTCCTCAAGTTGGGTTTAAACGGAGAGACGCTGCATCCCAACCAGACGACGACACTACCTCAGCTCTTAAGCCAGGCTGGATCCGTCCACGGCCTCGAACTACACTAAACAAAGGATCTGTTGCACTTGTCGTTTCGAGCCTGCCAGGTGGGCTACAGGACGGGGGCTTTCGGCAAAGTGGCGCCTTTGACTTCACCTCTACAGCAGGGCTTCGACACTTTCCTCGGACAAGTCGACCAAGCCGCCTGGAAAGATTGCCATACTGAGCTTTACCTGCAATGGAGTGCGAACAAAGTCCGATCCGAGGCGCTCTGCCACAACATGTACCCTTCGAAGATCGATTCGGCAATGGAGCAATTAAACTTTGAGTGCTCCAGTTGCAATGTTGTCTAAGCTGTGCTTAAGGCTGAAGGATTCCAGGCATGTTACATCACACTGCGCAGCTTAACCTTGGGTCGGTGCCCTTTGCCGTTGCGAGCTCCAGGCTGTCAGGGAACCTCGGAGCAAAGTCTCGCGATCTTTGCATGGAAAGGCCTGCAACCTGACTGAACGTAGAGCTCTGACGTGCTCTGACACTTTGAGGACAGAACTCTCGTGACTCCAAGGAGGCCTACAACTACACCATCGACGTTTTTCACGATCACGCCATGGCCTGGCTCGAAGCTGCAGCCTCGGAGGCTTCAAGAAGGCCTTTCTTCCTCTTCCTGATCCTAGGCTTTAAAACATCTTTTTGTTTAACGTGGAGAGCTTCCCATCTGTTGCAGCCCAGGAGCTACACTATACCTCATGCAGGGGGCTGGTCGGACGCACCCAAGAGCTTGGAGTCCGGAAATCCGGTGCCTTGCGATCTGCAGTGCCTTGACTGGCAGTTGAAAGCCTCTCATACATTGATGCACGCGAGCACCCGCGCGCACCCGCACGCCGCCGCTCTGGCAGCAGCACAGGATAAAAGGTCGGCGTGTTTGCGGATGCCGAGTGCGTGGCTCTGTTTGGCTGAATTCCTGCCTCTTCTCTTGCTGTTGATTGCAGATGCGACGGGCCTGGGTTTGGTGGCAGTGCCCCACTCGCTTGCATCCTCATGGCTTCCTTTCTGGGCAGAAGCCCGGCTCTGGTATGCTCGATATTGCTCGAGCTAGCTCCCTTGAGGGAAAGTCCGCTCTGTCACAGCTCTTGCGAGTTGCAGGAGTTGTATATGTGCCGTGTGCCATGTGACATTTACCATCATGTGCCGCTTCTCCCGACCTTTCGTCGTCGTGGCGGTTTCCAAGGTATGCAGATGAGCAATGGCCAGATGTTGAGAAGGACAGCAAGACTGCTCGAAATTCTTGAAGGCAGCTGCTTTGGGCACCCCATCTTCTCGCAGGATCATGCCGCCGTCATTACATACCTGGACGACAAGGCAAGTCCTTCAGCACAATGCGCCCCAGGCCTCAGATGTGCGATTGAATGCAAGTGCATCATACTGCATGGACAGGTAGGCGACCTTCTGGCACGGCTGAAAGCCTTAAACGTCGACAAGAACACCTTGGTGACTCAGCTCGTATCACATGTATCACGCATTGCTTCTCGTGCAGCTGCGTCCGGGTGACTGGCAGTGTCTCCCTCCATGTTTGTAGATGCACAGTTGTACGCATGCATCCGCCCAGCCAGCCAGCCAGCCAGCCAGCCAGCCAGCCAGCCAGCCAGCCACCCATCCACCCACTCACCGGCCCCATTCACACGTTGAGATACTTGAAAGCACGCTATGTGATTTCACAGTCTCGTCCTTCCAGGTCTTCTTCGCATCTGACAATGGCGCACACTCGGAAGGAGGTCATGACCATCGGTTCTTTGATTCCACAGGTGGTTTGCGAGGCTACAAGAGGCGCCGCTTCCGAGCCTCCGTCTCTTCTGCCGGAGAAGGGGTTCAGTTTTGGAGTGGGGCGGCCTGGGTGCTTGTGCAGGAGCATGTTCGAAGGCGGCGTGCGTTCCCCAACCATGGTACGCTGGCCAGACAGTGCTTTGGTGAAATTTCGGTTCAGCTGCGACAGACATGTGAAGGACGCTGTTGCAACTGCAGGCATCCCCGCTGGTCGTGTATCGGATTTTGCGTGGGCCTTTTGGGACGTGTTGCCCACAATCGCAGAGATTGCCGGGGCAAGCGTTCCCAATGGCCTGGACGGGATCAGCATCGTGCCCGAGCTGAAGGGTTCGTTTCAGAAGGACCACTGCATAACCATGCATAGCTACTCTCGAACAACGGCAGAGCGCTATCGTGCTGTCTTTGGAGGAGCACGACTATCTGTACTTCACATGGATTGGCGAGGGTGGAAGTGGCAGTGATGTGAAGCAGGAGCCGGGCTACACAATTCGTCAAGGTTGCTGGAAAGGTGTAGTGCCGCATTGCGATGCCGCGCTTTTGCAGCCTCTTGGCAGAGCTGTTGGTAGCCACGCTTGGCGGGCGCAGTGCTGTGCAGCGACTGTGCCGTTTGTGGCTCACTACAGGCCGAGGCTCGCAGACGAGATGCACCTCTTCGACCTTTGCGAGGATCCCTTTGAGAAGACAGACATTGCTGCAGTGAAGCCAAGCACTGTTCTGCAGCTGAAACAGCTGGCGGTTTCAAAGAACTTGTCCTGCATGTGCTACCAGTGCGGTTTCCACAAGACCTCGGCCGAAATTCTCGTGTGAAAAGCCGTCTCAACAGGTGATAGGCTACGGTAAATGCTGCATGATGTTACATTCTGGCAGCACGGTGCCAGTGCCAGGCATGATCGATGGCAGACGACGTGTCAACAGCAACAGCCGTGGCTGTTGCGAGTTGCAGATCGAAGACTGGAGGTCAGGTGCAATTTCCAGTACTTGTGTAGCCATCTACAGCTGAATCAGCTTGCCTTCGCCGCGGACATTTTAATTCCCCTGATATAGAACAAGTAAGATGCTGCAGAGGATATGTCGAGGCTTGCCACACGGAGACGAAGGCACCTTGCCGCACATCTGGCGTGATGGCAGCAGACTGTGGTTGCCAGGCGTTTAGCAATCGCGAAGCCAGGAACTTCGCCAGGAAGACCACAGCCCGAGGACTCAGAAGACCTGCTCTGATGGCCAAGCCACGACTCACAAGAGCATGACCGGACAGCTGAGCAAAGGCCAACTACCTGCTTAGCATCAGCGAGGATGCTTGCTTTGTTTCACATGCGCCCCAGCCCCAGTAAGGAGATGCAAGCTGTTGCAAAGGGTGCAGACTGCTTGATGATGAGTCGTCATGCTGCTTGAGAACGGTTCACAGCTCCAGAGGCGAGAAAGTCTAAACGTTCGGGACTGGCCACTACTGACAAACTTGCGCGCCGGTGATCGAGCCTTACTTGCAGAATGCGTACCGGCTGTCTGTATTTTGTACCGAGAAAGCACTGACCCGAGGCGTGGTATGCACCCACAGGGTCCGTGGACGCCACCTGCTACTTCAAGTCAATGGATGGTCACAGGACCCGGCCCGGACCATGGAAGACGGCATTTCGTCACGCGAGGGCATGTCATGAAACTGAAAGATATTTGAAGATGTTTGAAGCTATCTGATACTATCTGATGTACTGCCGTCAAGCACGCGACTGTTGCTGCATGTGTCCATAAAAACGGTGCATCTGAACTGCCGAGAACAAGCTCTGCGAGGAAAGGAAGGGAGATGTAGGTTTTGTTTCATTGATGACGTGACTCGCCCTTTGGGCACGCAGCTGTGCCGCCGTCCTGACCAAGACCATGTTGCCGAAAGAATTGGGGATGCTCGTGGTGCTAAGGTCGGTCATTGCTGGGAGAGAGAAGCATGACTGCTTCACTTAGCGGCAGACACCTGCACTTGGCACCACAGGCAACGTAGTTGGCACATCAGTCACCAAGATTGGGGTGCATGCCGCTGGCAATGGTTTTTCTGTACTCCGTCCCGCCCCGCTGTGTGCACAGCCACCTACACTCGTGATTGTGGAGGTTTGTCTTCCTTATTCCTTAGATTACTTTAGGCCGAACATGCAAAGTGGTCCAGCATCGTTGGGCACCCTTCCTTCGCTCGTCAGCTCGCCCTGAAACTTCCTCACCGCTCGGTTCCTATGGGACCACCCAAACAGCGCAAAAGCACAAACTTCTTAAGGTAATATACAACGGGGGCCGGGTGCTGTCTTTGTCCCCAATGTTAATCAGTCGCACGTACGCAGAGCGACCAGGAATCAATGGGACTTCAGCATCGGCCGCTTGAACCTTCACGTTGCGCACATGGCAGCAGGTGCCGTCCGGCTTGTGCAGAGAAGGTGATAAAGAGCCCAGCTGGAAGAACAGACGAAGACTCGTGTTGTCGGCTCTGGCTCCGAGCCAGACTCTGGCGGAGTGGTCCTGGTCGACTGCACCGGAAACCGAAGGACCGAAAAACTGCTGTCTCCTGGTGCCCGAGCTGCTTGAAAACGCTCGTTGCAGGAAGACTTTCCCGGACTCCTTGCGTCTACCTCAGCATGTCTTGGCGTGGCATTGGGATGTCAGATTCCCGACTGCCTTACGTACGCGAGGAGTAAAACAGTACCGATCTGGACCGCTGTGCTGCAAAGCATGGTGGCTACTTTGAAGGCGGCAAGGCTGGTGCAGAAGCAGATCAGAAACTCCAGTATTGCGAGGTGCCAGGCATGTGTCCGGAAGCATTTCCAGATGCCTTTCTTCACTTGCGCACTGCCGTGTTCTCGGACAACAGCACTCCAAGCATGTGCATCTGCGCTTTCGGCTCTGTTCTGTGCAGCAGGCGGAAGCAGAACGGCCTGACATCTTGAAGCTCTTGCCGGAGTGGGTCGAAAAGTGGGATCCTTCACTTTTAGCGGTTAGCGGCGCAGCGGTCAAGATGGTCAAGAGTACTCAAGAGCAGAATGGCCCAGCGCAAGGCTTCGCAAAAATCTGCCGGAAGCAGAAGCTATGCAGCTGGCAGCTGCTTTGTGAGAGCCCCAGCCTTATCCTGGGTGGAGCTTTGACTGTGCGTGGTCGTTGTGTCGTGTTTTCGATAGGAAAGGCAGAAAGCTTCGACCGTTCTGGGTTTGCCCGACAGACGTTGGAGACCGAGAAAGCCCACCAGCAAGTTTCCCATTCGCAACATGTGCCGCACATGCTCAGGACTTGAACAAGCTGAAAGATGTGGGAAGCCCAGAAGTATTTCTATTGATTGTCGGCCTTTGCTGACTCATGCAGGACCTCGACGCTCTGAAAGAGGAACATGCCATAGTCTTGTGCTTCTCTGCGTCGAAGGCGCAAGCAAAGGGTCACGGAGAGCGCCAGTGCCGAGCTGTATTTGCAGGTGGTGGCAGGGAGTACCAGTTACATCCAGGCCACGGCCTTGAATGTCGCACTTTCCGAGTCCGATTCAGCTGTGAGGGAGCGGGCGATGACGAGGAGGTCCGGTCGCAGCGATGCGATGGGGTGATGGGGGGGCGTTTCTTCTCGCAGCTCGCAGGGTGCAGCGAGGGTGCAGCGAGGGGTGCGGCCTGCCAGGCCTGGGCCCGGCAGCTCGGCCTCGGCCCGGCGCGCTTCTGGCTCCACGCACGGCGCCCAAATGCCGGAAGAGGCGGCTCCTTCGTTTGAAAGTCCGAGAGCCGAGGCGGAGGAGCTCCTGGAGCTGGCGCGAAGCGCGCCTCAGGAGGCCGCTTCAACGGGCACATTCGGAGACCTAGAGAATCTAGACGTCACGTCCAGTCCGGGAGCCATGGCGGGTTCAAAGGGTCCTGGGAACAGAGGGCAGCAAAGCGGATACAGGGCAGCCGGTGGGAGCATGTGGGAGCGCTCCGGCGAAGAACGCTTGAGGTAATCTAAGCTCCTGGGCTCGGACAGGTGGATGCTGCCATCAAGGCTCTACCGGCGGCCCTACCGGCAGATCAGATGCAGGACGTGCCGACGCAGGAGCAGTCTGAGCTGGACTTCAGTTGTTCATGCTGCTATGAATAGTGAAAGCTGCCAGTAAAGATCCTGTCTGACGGGATCCCAGTGTGGTGTTCAAGGACACAGCCAAGGTTCCGGTGGCGGACCAAGTGGTGCAAGACTAAGTTTCGCCCCTGACCGAAGCCTTTGTCAAATTGCCTAGTCCAGGTGTCCCTGTCCTTCATCGGTAGCACTGGGGTCGCCGTTGGCAACTTCGCATCCGCTGCTCCACCCAGAGTCTGGGCGGGCAGCTTACGCCGTCAGAAGGGGAGAACCGGCAATTCGACAATCTTGCTTTCAAGGAGTGTGTCGACGCGGTGCTGAATTGCGGAGGTCTGCTGCCTGTGTCCCTCTTCAGCCATGTCCATTCTGAGAACTTTGCAGATTGTAGGCGAAGAACATCCTGAGATGAAAGGCCATGCCGCTGTGAATAAACACCTGCCGAGCATCTTTAGTTGATTGGTTGCCGTGTGACTGCACGACGCAGCAATTGCTGTCTTATCTTTCAATGTCGATTCCGGGAACTTGTTGTGCAAAGCTGTTGCAATAGCTGCCATTCGCTGCCACAAGGTGATCCTCGGTACCTGCACTTGCCGGCAGCGGATGAAAAGAAGCCCACTGCTAAGATGAGACATCACGAGAACATTCTTCGGCCTAATCCTGGCACGAGGCTTCAACACATGCCATCTCGGCACGATACCAGCGAACTTCCGAAAACAGTCGATTTAACAATTTAAGCATGTGAAACCCACAGAAAACAGGGGCGGAGGCAAGTACCATCATATTCATCTCTTTCGCAGACTTGGGAGATCGCATCCACGAGAGTGATCATGATACCCTCTCAAGTGTACGTATGATTCAAGAGCTTAGCTGGACTGTTCAATCAGGGCAATCCAGATCAATATGGGAATGACGAGTTGAACTTAGTCGTTTCATGAGATCTGTCATAGAGGCTTGTAGCTGGGTGAGGCGCTGTAAATCGTAAAGGTGCCTACAGGTTTGGCTTACGAAGAGCCGGGCATCCCGAAAGCCCGAACCGTCCCTAACTTACTTGTGTCCTTGGTCTTTCGTCACTTTAGTCATGTCAAAATGTTGTGTTGCCAAGGCACGATCCGTCAAAGCGCTGGTGGCAGGAGGTGCTGCTGCCCCAGGCGCTCAGCTTCATCGCGAGGCGCCTGCAACCCTGAGCGCCTCTGAGTCAACAGCAGTACCGACCTATCTCGGTTTTCATCGTGCTTGTCATAAACCTGCCAGCAGCAGAGCCAAAACAACAATAGCTAGGACAAGGTGAGGGGCACAGCCATCAGGATGGTACTAAGGCACAGCGAATCCCAATAAACCCTGCGGATCTGCAGGAGCCTGCAGCGGGGGGAGAAGGCCGGCCTCTCGAGGGCTGTTTTGATTTGTCCAGCTTCTGGCTTGATCCTATCGCCTCTTTTTCTTTTCGACTTCCTTTGATGTGAGGTGCTGATACACTGCAGCCGCGGAGACAACAGGTGCCCTGCGGTTGCAGCTGCAGCTTTAGCGGCATTCTTCGGTCTGCCCCCCAAGTGCATGGCATGCCATTCTTGAATTTGCAAATGCCGTCGCCAAACCAAGGGCCTGGCGGCACTGGCCCCTTCGATCTCGCAAAGCGCAGGACGCCTCCGAGTCTTCCTCTCCTTCCCTATGCTTGAGCCGAACTTCACGCAGGCTGGAGAAGGCAGACTTGCGCAGGCGGCCGTGCTTCGCTTGCTTCCGTACTGTGTCGAGTAGCCTGAGCATGCCAGAGCCTGGGAGGTGCTTGGTCGTGGCCGGCCACCCGAGCAGAAAGTGTCGCCACGATGCCACACATCGCGGATCCAGGTTCAGTGCCATCATCCCACCTGCATGGTGCCCAGACGCATCATGCAGTTCTTGAACTTGCCCTTCTCTCAGATGAGACTCGCTTGACGCGGTTGTTAGATTAGTTACATGCAAGCACAGGTTCTTCGTCACCGAGGACGGCGGCTGGCCGGGGGGCCCAGGCCGCTCGAAAGTTGCCCAAAGGCACAGACCTGCATTGCGAGACATCAGAGACTTCGCAAACCGCGCCGCAGGCAAGCTAAACCCGGCTAAAAACCCAAGAGCCCAAGTAGACATGCATTTCAAACGCAAGCCGCTGACTGGAACAACGGCTCAGCCGGGCAGAGCCAGATGCAATATTCTACAACGTGGGTTCGGTTGAGCCATTCGACAAAAACGTAAGACTTGGCAATGACCAACTCATTGGCTGCAATCCATCTATAGGCTTCCTGTCAAAGAGCAAGAACAGCAGTAGTAAGACTGGCAGGCCAGCAGCACTGTAAGTGGCAATCAAGATATCACTACCGCCACCACCATCATAATCTTAGCGATGACAACCTCAATCGACAGTGGTGCTCGCGCCGAAAGAAACACAGCCTTTCTCGCCCGTTTCCGAGGTCGAAGTGGCAAATCGCTCCGCCCGAGGAGCCGATGACCGTGCCAGTGCCAGTGGCGAGCCTGGGGGCTCCCCGAGCTCCCGAAGCCGCTGCCATCAGGCAGCCAGTTGCTGACGAGGCGCCGCCCAGAGCGACTAGCATCTGCTAGCAGACTATGGATGTGGTAAAGGTGCTCACGGACCAAGGCTTCGCCCTCTACATCAGAAGCTTCGCTGCACTGATGAAGCACTGTCTTCAGCGGTCCGAGATGGTCCGAGTCACAGTCAGTCAAAGTGTGTGTGCGATGTTCCAATCTTGTCGATGCTTGGTGGGCTTGCTAGAGTGCTGTAGCCGGATGGCATGAAGCGCATGTGCTATTTGAACACTGTCATCCTGTCAGGCGGTGCCTTTTTCGCCCAAAGCTTGCCGTTGCTGAGGCTTCATGTTTGCACCGCTGCCTCCCATGTGTTCGTACTCTTTCTTTGAAGTCCACCTGTGCAGGCAACTTGGGGTAAGTCACATCGTCAATGTCACCAAGGCAAAGACAGGGATAGCGGTTGTCAATGCGTTTCCAGCTGCGTAGCTGACAGAAACTTGTGCTCTGCAAGGCCCCGAACGTTTTTGAAGGCAAGTTCGTGTACCATCAAGTTGCAATCGAGGAGTGGAATCATCTCTCTGGGTGCTGTTTGGCATCTCACTGTCGAGTCATTCCCGAAGGACGATCGATCTACCAATCTCCTCCAAGTTCTAGATGCAGCGCTGATGCCTTGAATCGTTCCATTCCGGAAGTTTTCCTTAATCACTTTCGGCTTGCCTCTCGAGCTTGAGGTTGGAATTCATCCATGATGCCCGGACACAGAGTGGTGGGCTCAGACTTCGAGAAGCAGCTGGATGAAGGGGTCCGCCTCGTGTCGACGCCAGGGATAAGCTTGTTGGCTTGCAGACTGCCTGGCTTTCGATTTTCCTGTTTCTTGCATCAGTGGCTTCCTGGCTTCGGGTGGGTCGGATGCTTGGGTTGCCCGAGATCTCTGCTCGTCATCGCACGCAACAAACATTACACACTGGCTGGTGTCAGTATCTCAACCGATCACTCGCGATTGCCACAACCATGGCGGTTTCCAGTTTCGCTCGTGTGACGTGTATGAGGCTGGCAGGAAACCCTGGATAACAGAACCACCTCAGATGTTAAACGTTACTCCCAGCTCCGCACGAAGTGATGCGTGAGCCTTTCGTAAGCAGTAATTGCTTGTCGGGAAGAGCATTCTTTCCCGCTGCTTGGTTGCTGAGGTTGCAACTGTTGCGTCCTGGTGCATTGTCGCGAAGGCGTTTCCAGGCCTTCAGCTTGCAGCAGATGAGGTTAAGGTGAGATCCGCAATTTTCTAGCAATGGTCGGCCTGTGCCAATGAGCTGGCAGCTAACCTGATTATCGCACCCATGCTACTTCCGAGAAGCGACCAGGGAGCACATTCACACTGAACAGAAGCCAGAACCTCACCAAGCTTCAACGCGTCTTCAACGGCCCAGTGCACAGTTCGACGGCGATGTGTCGGGGCGACCCACGGAGAAAGAAAGCAGTGAAAAGCCATTCTTCGATGGCATTTGCGCGTGCGCGGAGCGTCCATCATCCGCTGTGGTCTGTTTTGCATGCAGCAACAAATGGTGCAAACAAGTCAGCATCACCATTAGGTGACTCTGCGAGACCTTCAGCATCACCGTTATGTAGGTGATTACCATTGATTACCTGAGGCTCAGGTGTCGTTCCCGGGCCTTCGATCCAAGCACCACTTTCCCATGAGGGCACTCATGCAATCGGCAGCTTTGTTGATTCGTTGCATTGCAGGTCAGTGTCAGTTGTCTTGGCATACCTGATGAGGTGCCGGAACCAAGGTAGATTGCGTGCAGGATGAGCGAGTATCGCTAGCCTTTCGAAAGGGACTCGCTGGTGTTGTGCCAGGTTCGAGAAGCTCGGTCTGAGGCGCGCTTTGTTTAGTACTCTGCAGCCAGATGCGAGTGTGCTATGGAGCAGCCGCACACATCCCGTGCCTTGTCTCAGTGGCGCAATGCGGCTACTACAAGACCGCAGATCGGGCAGCTGCAGACCAAATGCTTGGAGCTCGTTGATTGCTCTAGTTCACCGCTTCAGTGGCGCAGTTCTTGGGTGGCGACGCTGGACAAAGCACGTCGTCAGACCCTATCTAGCAGAGTGTCCCGCATTTCCGACATGCTAGTGGCAGCCAATGCAACCGCTCTTGCAGGCTGGGTTTCTACAGCAGCTGAAGGCATTCGAGGAGGGGTTGAATCGGACGCAGGAAAAAAGTCCGGCTCGATGTAGTGCTGTGTTATATTTGTGAATTATCCTATTGCCATGTCTTGCTTAGCATGAGCGGATCTACACCCAACCGCGGCAACCTGTGCCTCAGACTCCATATGCAGAAATCCAGAATCGGGAGCCAAGCGAGGCCAGAGGTGCACAGAAACCAAAAAGTAGTGGGGATGCGGCTTTCGAGCGAGTTGTCAGTTCTCAACATTGGCCCGACAACTGACAACTAACGAATGCGGAATGCTACTGTAATGGAACATGTGCCAAGATGGGGGCTTTGCGTTGCTCTTTCATGGGATGCCGCAGCATTTGAGCTGAAGCCTACACATAAGAATATCTACCGCCACGCCACGTTGAGTTCTCAAAGAAGGCTCAAATCGTACTTAGATACCATGAGTAATGTTCTGTCTAATTTAAGATGCCATCGGTGATACCTCGCTTCTTCATGCAAGGACGCTTGTTGACGATGAGTTGGCAGAGGCTAACGTCTAGACTACATCGTCTCGCAACTGCTTATCTTTGGAGCCGCTTTAAACCTCAAATCAACTCGAATCTCTTCGATGATCGGGTCATGGACTCATCGGACGCGACAGAACCTGCGAAGCCAGGCCCGTACTTCATGAAAGACATCCCATCTGTTCTGCCATGTTCTGGCCCCAAAGCCCGCAGCACGCCTTAAGCATGCAACATGTCGGACATAAGCCTGGCGTCTCGTTGAATTCACACTAGGCCACTAGGCTCCTGTAGAGGTTAGTGAAACAACTGACGCAGGAGTGCTGCGCAGCAGCAATTTCAGCAGGAATTCGCGGAGTTCGCATACGCCTGGACTGCGTCCGTCTACAAACACTGGCGTCAGCTATGCGCTGCCACCCGACACACCAGAGCCTCAGCATATGCGCATCTCCAAGATGACGACCGGGAGCGGCAGCAGATCGCGCAGCCAGGAGCTACGAACATCAACATCAGGAGTGGGACCGCAACTCACAACGGCAACGAGCATGGCCTCCAACTCGTAGCCTGACTGCGAGGAAGGAAGCGTTCCACTGCATGTTCGCAGTTCGGGTCAGCTGCGTAAGATGGAACATGTTGAACGCAAGGAAGCCGTCGCCATGGTTTGCGACCCAGTGCCTTGCCTCAGATTCAGACTGCTAATGCTGCTAATGCCCCATATCAGGCCAGCGGCCGACTTGTTCCGTGGGATTCACAATGCGAACGGCCGAAGTCAGTCCTTGAATCCTAGTCCAGGGGTTTGGCGCGCAGTAGAAGGAGCGCAAAAATGCAGAGAAGTTGCTCTGCAAAGCGCTGATGGGAAAGGTCTTTCGTCACGAGCGCTGGCGGCTCAATGAAGTCCACGGAAGTGCGGGAGGAGGACACCGACACGTCACACATCGTCACACTGACACCTCTCAGTGTAAGACACCGGCTGCACCGTCGCAACTTTAAATCTGGTTGTCGCAGCCTTTGTTGAGGAGGCGTATCTGGGAAGCGTTGTCGCTGAACGGTACGTAGATCTGGATCCATTCGTCGAGGTCGGGCCGAACTCTCGTTGCATTGCAATAGCCATCTTCATTTCAAGCCCTCACCTGATCCCTGAAGAGGCGGTCGGCTACTTCAAGGAGCAGCAGCGGCGTCTGGACGTGAACTCCTTGATCACCACTCGCAAAGCAACGGACCCTCACTTTAGACTTGAGGAGACAGGGTTTGGCAGAGGCAGGTGTTTACCCCCAGCTTGTTGAAAACACAGTTCATTGAAGAGTCCACTGAGTACTGCGTAGAAAAAGTCACTCACAGCATGGCATAAGTGCCGTAGGATCCAATCATTCCGCACATGGCTGCACGGTTGCCACACCTGCCAAAACGTGCAGTGGTAATCAAGAAGTGAGCGTTCTCAGGCGTTTGTAGACGATCTTGTGTATTCTGTCGTGAGGAAGAAACTCGCTTTGGCTGCTTGCTCTCGGAAGAGGAAATTGAGCAGCTTCTGCAAGAAGAGCTGGTCAGGCCACCTGGAACCAGTTGAAATCAGCATTTTAGATGATGTATAGCTGCAATAAGCTGCTTCTGTTGAAGCGACCTTCGGCCGCAAGGGTGGGCATGCAGAACACCCTGCTCATGGACTTCGTTTTTGGACTGGTCATTCTGGCAAACGGTGTCATGATGGGTCTGACAACACAGGGTGTCGTGGACGAAGAGAGCAGGGAAGCCCAAATATTTGAGATCGTCTGTGTAGGCTTGTTCACCATTGAGTTTCTGCTTCATTGGCTCTTCGAGCGGCTTCACCGCGTGAAGGGCTGCTGTGCAAGCCTGCGCTCACACATGCGAGATAATTGGGCCAAGTTCGACCTCACATGCCTGGTACTCGCGTGGCTTGACCTTCTCATGACCTACCTGATTGAAATTGAAGGTGGAACCTCTGCGTTTGCTGTGCTGCGAGTCCTTCGCTTGATGCGGCTGCTGCGCCTGCTCCGGTTATTGAAGATCATGCAGCAATTGTGGCTCTTGCTGAGCAGCATGGTGGCAGCAATGCGCGTTCTTTCCTGGGCCACTGGAATGCTCGTATGCATTTGCTACATTTTTGGCATCCTCGTATACGAGCTGACAAAGGGATCTCTGGGCACTAGGCCTGATCTCGCAGCCGATTGGAACGGAGTTGTCGCCTCAATGCTGTCGCTGGCCCAGATAGCAACTTTCAGTGGCATTGACTTGATTCGCCGAAGGAGGGGTGGAGCTTGTTGTCTGCTTTGAGTCGTTTCCTAGTCTCCTATGAACTAGGGATGCGTGCTCTGTTCTAATGCTCAGCCAATGACCGAAGTGCGTGGCATGCATGAATCGCGATGTGTAGGATCGATGCTTCAGATGGATGGCTCTTCATGCCGGCCCTTTTCCTGTTTATGGCAATCGCCTCGCTCGGCATCATCAACCTCATAGTCGGCGTGCTCTTAACAGCTGTATTGGACCGCGGGGACCAGGAGACGGCTTGGACGCCGATCGCAGACTTAGGTTTCAAGCTTGCGCGCAGTTCCATTTGTGCCGGGCCCTGAGGACGACATGTTCGAGAGCACCGTCCTGAAGCTGCGACAGCACCGAGCACTTCGGAGACTTCGGTTTGGTCTCTGTCTGCATGCGGAAAAGACATTGGGAAGGACGAAGGACGCTTTTTCAACCTGAGGTGCCTGTAGTCTTATGAGTAGTCTTTTCGAAACACCAACGATCACACTTTGCTCATGGCTGTGAGATCCGTTCAGGAGGGAAAGGATGACTCGCATCTGGTTTCTCGGCGAATTCTGCAGGGTTGGGCACGGGGGCCGGACGCAGAGCTCAACAAGCAGGAAGAGGAAGCGGCTGAGGAGGAGCGATCGAGAGTTGCTGAGCTGTGCCGATGCCTGCATTCGAGCAGAATGGAGTACAAAGCCCTCAAATTTTTGGAGCTTCGCTTGTGTTACTTGTGGAGGTGATGGACGTCACGTCAGGGTACGGTAGGGCAGGTGTCAGCTGCCAATGCAAGTGGCACCGTAATCCAGAATCAGCCTCCCGTTCGAAGGCCTGACTGTCCTTCTGCTCTGAAGCATTAGATTACCCTCGTTCAGAGAAATCGTGCTGCTGTCATTTCGGACTCAGACGTATGTGCACGCACGTCGTCATGAATGCCTTTCTTGAGCATGCACGGTGTGCAGCACTTACTTTGCAGGCTTTGCGAATATGTGCTCACAGGACGATGACGAGACGCTGCAAAAGCAGATTCAGAACATCGGTGCGAACCTCCGACGTGATTCTCCGGACAACGCCGGTAGTTCCGAGAACTTGGTAGGCACCGGATGGCATGTCATGAGCTCCTGCTAATTTGTGCATCTTGCAAACTGCCATAAACTGCCGGCTGTGCTCGCAGGCAAGGGCGTCGGAGTGAAAATGAAGAGGAAGGCGGGCCCTTGTGGCCGATGCTGTGCAGCCGTCTACTCGCGCTTTTGCAACTTGCCTTCAGAGACTCAAGCAAACCGAAAGCTGGACACGTGTGCAAAGCTTATTGCTGTGTGTGGGTGTGTTGGTGGTATGTTGAGGGAAGTTTTGAGGGAGCATCTGGCCGAAGCCACGAGTGGCCTACGGGCCTTCCTGAAAGCCCAAGCCATGCGTCCGCTAGCCGCGAGCGCCCTGGCTGAAGCTGTGAAGCCTGAAGCTTGGGCTTCATTTCCTCAGGCATGCGCCCTCTCACGGTCATGAAGCGAATCATGCGGAGCCGCCTTGGCACTGTGAAGATGGAGCCAGGCACGAGAAGCGATGCAGCTGCTTTGCTTTCGTTCGGTTCAAGCCGTTACTTGCCATCCAGTATCGAGTTCTTCCGGGTCACGCTTCTTTTAATTTTGGTCTTGGAAGAAATGATTTCATGCTCTCTAGGCGCCGTAGCTCAGCAAGTGCGACTATCAACGGATGCAGCGCCCGAGTTATGTCAAGGAACAGGTGCAAAGGAGCACGAATGCGCCAAGCTCACGGCTGTCGACAGCAAAGACCCCTGCAGCAGCTTTCCACACAGCTTTACTCTGGAGGGGAATTTTAAACTCGAGGCAAGATGGGAGGAGCATGAAGGACCGACGACCGAACTTGAAACTCGATGCTCCGTAGACTCCTAGCCCCACCTGTGCGCGGCCTGGCCAAGCAGAGAGATTGCCGGAGAACCATTTGTGTATGGACCTGTGTTTGAGAGGAGGCAATTAACTAAGGGCGAGTGCCTCAAGTGCTAGGCGTTGACGACACCTTGTCAAAGAGTTGGCTTCCAAAGTTACAGATGGCCGTGGTATTCGGTAGGTGCAGAAGCCACACTTCAAAAGTCATGTTTGTGTTCCTTTTTGCCTACTCCCTGCTGCACATCAGCCGCTGATCTTCGAAGTATGCAGTATGAACCCAAGTCCAAATTGTCCAGCATATCATGCATCATCATGCATGTCACATGCTGCCGCAGACAGCCTGGTGCTGCAGATGCCTCGCAAACCCGCTGTCATGGTGCATGTACATGTTCGTGACAGGTGAGATCGAAGATCTTCGTTCCGAGTTGCCTGGTCTTTTTTCAGCGGCGGGAGTGTCTATGCAAGACATTGATGCCGTATGCTCTGAAGTGGAGAACCTCATGGGCGACAATGCTGGCAGCATCATTGCGATTAGCTTGATTGTCGATCGTTGCTTGTTTTGAGTAGGGAAAGACGACGCCATGCCCGGCATGGAGTGGGCCTGTGCAGGCATCACCATAGACGAGTTCATCGAGAGCTTGATTTCCATGAAATCGCGAGCACACCCGCTGGATATAGTGGGCAACATGATTGCAGATTCTTGTAGAATAATTGAACGTCACGGTGGTGCATAACAGTCGCCTGCAGCATGTCAGACGTAGTGAGCATCTCACATGATCACAGGCATCACCTCCACTGAGGTGTCATGCGCGGTTTATGGCTAATATATGAGAGGATGTCCAGCATGGACGCTTTCCTTGAGCTCGCCGGCAACTCGCTGAAGGAGTGCAGCACACAGCTTCAACCTTTGTTGCAGAAGCTTGGTTGTGCAAGTGGCTCCAGATGCAAGTGCTTTATTGACCTTGCACCGTTCGGCACTTCGGAATCCTCGAGAGGAAAGGGAGGGCGAGCAGATAGATTCCGCCATGCTCCCGAGAAGTGATCTCATCGAGAAAGAAGCTCGGGTGTCACAACCAGCAGCTCCCAAGCAGCTGACGACGCGGCTCAGGAGGGTCCCAGTCAGGATCTAGGTTCAGGAGTCGGTCTACTCCGAGTGAGAAAAGATGAGAACGGTGCTAAGTAGTGCCACTGTGCTCTATCTAGCAAGAGGTGGGGGTGGGAGTGTTCAGCAGCGGCATCAAGTTGATGTTTGTCCGGCTTTGTCTATGTTTGTACTTTTTTGACGTTTATTGTCAATATCTGTCTGTATTTGTCAACTTTTGGGTCTAAGTCCTGTGGTTCTGGACCCTCGCAAATGGTCAATGATCAACGGAACATGCAGCAGTTCGTTCATATTCATGTAGTTTGCAAGCAAACCTGGACCCTCATGGAGGCGCTACAGGCTGTGGACTAGGCATGACTAGACCTACCGTAGCAGATCAAGCCACTGGAACCCACGAAACTTGCCCAGCTTCTCGGATCGTGTGCTGCTTGGATTTCGTCAGGTACTTAGGCCGGAGCAAGTCCCGGCGCACCAGACCGACGGACAGTACGCATGCTTGACTCCTTGAAACCAAGCTGGCAAACCTGTCGCCTTAAGCAATACGTCCGTGGACTGTCACCGTCCCATGTCTCAGACCTGGCCAAATGTGTTGCAGACCTCCGCGATGTGATCCATTCCAAATAATTTGTTGCTGTGCGCATGCCCCCGGCATGAGTAGGCTTCACGCACATTGCCTGCGACATCGCAATGAGACAATGTAAGCTGTTTTTTATTGACGGAGTCGTCAGCAAGGAGACTGTGAACATGTTAAACACAGTTTGTGATGACATGATAAATCTGAGGAAAATGTCGTCCAAAGAGGTGGGAGATCACGCCTGCATGCACATGTGACTTTGCCAGTGGGCCGCCATGCCCCGAGTCCCACATGAGCCCAAGTAGAAGCGACAGTCATCCAGCCCAGCTAAGTTCTTGGGAGGCCACCGTGAGCAAAGCAGTCGCCGCCATGTCGGAGTTATCCGAAAGCCCTGAGATGCAAGAGAGACGACGTATTTTCGAGGAGCAGGCAAGCGGGTCGAGCATATACAACCATTTAGGATCGGGAAGCAGCTAGAGTTTTTGCGCAGGCAGCTAATCGCTTTACAAAATTCCACTCTTGGCAGTGGCAGGAAGCGCGACTATTCACAGCGTGGGGAGCTCAGCTAGTACACAGAACATGCTCGAAGATGTTCGATGGTGCTAGCCAGCTATTTCTTTCACTTTGCTCCCCGAAGAATTGCCAGGAGCCAAACAACCTTTGACCTGTTCTTCGCGGTCGTTTTGGTGGCCCGGCTCGAGCAATGACTGGCCGAGCTGGCCGAAGGTGCCGCGCATGTCCTCCCATGCCGAGGTGCTCAATGCGGTCAAGCTTGGCGTGGATATCGTGCTCTTACCTCCGAGATTGTCCGACTTGACCGCCAGAAGCTTCCAAAGCCCTGCCACTCGACTCGTCAAGGCTGCCTGCCAAGCTGAAGAACCTGCCCACCTGCTTTAAGCTCTTACAAGCCGAGGCCATGGCGTGGTTCATGCTGGAAGCGCTCTTCACGCTGACTTTCACAGCCGAGCTTTTCTTGCGTGCCATCTTCAAGTACCAGATGGAAGTCATGGGAGAGCATGAGCTCTTTCTGTTCGTAGTCCCAAAGATAGCTTCAACTTTGACCTTCAACCAAGTGGTCGACATCATCAAATACTCCTGGCGACTCTTCATGGACAAGCTCTTCCTTTTCGACGTGATTACAGTGCTCGTATCCTTGCTTGACACCTTCGTCCTACGTTTCGCAGGAAATCAAACGCCGGCCTTGAGACTGGTAAGTTTGCTCCGACTGCTTCGTTTGGTTCGGCTGCTCCATTTGATAAAAGACTTGTCGCGACTCGTCAACGGCTTTGTCGGCAACATCCGGTTCATTTGCAGGTCGGTGATAATGATGACTATTTTCATCTATGCAAATGCCATTCTGATGGTCGAGTTTGTCGGTCGCAGCGAGGACACCCAAAATGATGCAAACATCCAGGCCAAGTGGGGCAACATCCCCAGCAGCATGCTGTCGCTGCTGACAATGAGCACGTACAGCAGTTGGAGCTTGAGAGTGGCGGAAGTTGCAGCATACCCCTCCCTGGCAATATTTATGCCCATATTCGCGATTCTGTTCCTGGCGATTTGCAGTTTAGGCCAGGCCGGTCGAACAGCAGACTTTGCCTAATGATTGATTAATGACTTCTGCACAAGTCTGTGACGATTCTTTTGCAGCAGTGACAAGCTATGTGCCGGGACCAGTGTTTTGCCTTGAGTGCACGGAGGCTTTCCCGTCTGGGGTTTGCCAGAGCCTCTGTACACAGAAATGCAAGCGAGTGCTACACTTTCAGGCATGCTGAATCTCGTGACGGGCGTCATGGTTCAGACCGCTTTCTCCTTCCTGAAGGACATAGAGGGTTGTGTGGCCGTTCTGTTGAGGCTCTGAGCCAATCCTAGAGGAAGGTAGGGCGTTTGAAGGCGCTCGCCTGTCTCGTGCGTGCATAGGGACACAGGACGACAGCAAAGAGAAGAGCATTCACCGGCTCGCGACCGCCCGTGAGCAGATGCACAAGGTACCACAGACCCTGTTGCGCAATTGGGGCGTGGGCGATTGTGTTCGAATCGTTACAGTGGCCGACGCCCAGATAATATGCAAGACATCAGACACATCGGAAAGCCAAGTCAGTCTGCTGCCCTTCTGCATTGTCGAGGTGATGCGGCAATGTTACGACGACATGCATCGACATGTCGAGCGAGAGCAGCAGAAGGTTAAGGCCATCATTTTCTTTACTTTGCCTGTTTGAAACATGGGCTTGTGTAGGAGCGGGTAAACCGGATCCGCGAGAAGCACACAATGCGATTTTCCACCGATCCAACGAGTCTCGGCTGAACAGTCACCAGGTCAACAACCGCAAATCTCAGCAAGTAGTAGGGTTAGCACGGCAGGAAATGGAGACGTGCACTGCGGTAGCCTGGTGAGAGCCCACCGCGGCTGCTGGACTGAGGCTGATCTCACAACTCCGATCTGGCCCCTTGGCCCTTGAGAACCGGAGTTGAGCACGTTTGGGTGTCACTGGCACATCGTGCCAAGGATCAGTTGATACCTTTGCGACGACTGAGAGCTGGACGTTGGGGCCTCAGTTTGACACGCGACCGAACCGGATCTGAACCGCAGAGTCACCACGTTTGAGCACTCAGTGCAAGGAGCCTCGGAGCTTCTCTACCAACGGGTTTTCGCTGTAGTGCGGTTGTCTGAGAAGGAGTCTGTTTCTCTTCACAGAAAGTCGGCGGCAGGGCACCGGTCCCAGTTCCTGACGCGCCGGCACGTCCAGGACGACAAGAGCTGCTTCTGCTTTTGAGTTTCGAGAAGTTCTGCCAAGTAGGAGGAGCGCAGCCTCCACCACCTGAAGCCAGCTGCTCGGAGTAGCTGTGCTGCCTGCTCATGTCAACAAGTTAAAAAACATAGAGGTCACCGAAATGCTTCAGGAGCAATTCCTGGTGTCTGCTTTTGATGACGACAACTATGCAGAGGCACGACACCTTCTTAGCCAGCACGCAGGCTGCCAGCAAACTCTAAGACTCAACGGCGAGCTACAAGCTGACAAGTTCCGGCAGCGGTGGAGCTAGTTTCTTTGATCGCAAGTTCCGATGAACACTTGAGCAATGTCTCTGGCCGTGTTGCGCAGACAAGACTTGCTGTTCAATTTGGTTCATGTTTTCCGTCTCAGCTGATTGCAGGTTACTCGATGCCTCTGGGCCGTTCGCTGAGATTACCATGTCCGAGCGTCCTGAAGGGACATCAGGTGATGTTTCAGCCAAGGTTTCCGAAGAAGAGGTTGGTGTGGATGTACTTCTGACACTGGACCCGGGTTGCTAAAACACAGAATTACTTGTGGAGAAGACCCACTCCTGAATGTTCTCAACCCTGCAGAACCCGAAGTTGTCTCCAGACGCAGACAGCGATCCGATGTTTGCCTGGCATGTCTTGTCTGAAGCATCTGTTTTGCAGAATTTGTGAGCCTGTGCTTGTGTTCAGGAAGAGTTTGCTCACCTGGGAGGGCGGCAGTTCCGTCACGCTTTTGTGCACTTCCGTGCCTAAGCCTTGGCCTGCCTGATGTGCCGATACTTGTGAAGCTCCAGGCAAAGCTGAACCATGCCTTGCTCGCTTCTGAGATGTGTCCACCGAAGGCAGTGAAGCCAGAGGCCATGCATCATGGCATAGCTGGCATAGCTAGTCCAGCAGTCCAGGCAGTGTAGCCACTTCTCGCTGAGGTTCTCCAACAGACTGATCACATGCAGCATCAGCCAGATGAGGGAGATGAGGAAGCTGGTCAGCATCGTGTCAGGACCGGGAGGGCCAAAGGCAGGGCTTGCAAAACTTCCGGACCACTTTGCAAAAGAGCAGTGCCTCCGGAATTTGAAACGGATCTGTGGCCGCGACATTTCGTGACAGCATGTCATGTTTCGACAAGTCTTGCATGAGGACTTCTTCTCAAACAATCGTCTTCCGGCCCGTGTCTTTGTCGAAGGCCACAGAAAGCCTGCAGACTTTGCAATACGCTTGGCACATCGCTTCTGCTCCAGGTCTTCGCTTTTCGGTCGGTTTCCAAGTTACTAAGTTAGCTTCCGCAGGAATGGAAGAGGATGCATTTCGGCTCAGGTATGGTGGCAATTTCACGGTTGTGAAGGCTCACCCTTCGGGAGATTCTTTCTGCGAGAGAAGACCAGAGCAGAGCACAACGAGGCCAGGGCTGCAACAGTTCCTGGCGCCGGAATGCTCGCAGCAGGGGAGCTAGAGGCCAGGGTCTGAGATCTCTGAGGGTTTGTGGCAATGCGCCGTTTGTCGCAGTGAGGACCTGATGCCCGTCGACCCGACACTCGTGACCATGCGAGAGCTCAATTACCTCCTGCAGGACGGCAAGCTGCAAACACAGCACTTGGCACTTGGACGGCATGCCACAAACTTCACAGCGTGTGACTTGAGACACCGTCATGGAAATCAGGACAAGCGATTTGCAAAGAGGCTTCGTGTTCTAGCTTGCGTTGGTAGATCAGTTCCCGTATGTGTTGGCATCATTCTGTGCAGTTTGGATCTCATTGGCATGCGTCCAGATCAAGCACTTATGGTGTATCAGAAGTGAGTGTCTCAGCTCAGCCCTGCTCAAAGCATTGCGACATTGCCTTGCTGGTAGCAAAGCGCGCCTCCGAGGCTGAATTTAACGAACACTGAGAGGGTGAAGGCGTGAATGGAATTTCTGGACAGTACGATAAACGAAGGTATACTGTCCTATGACGCCAGTCCCGCCTTTTGCAGTTTTCACACCATCTGCTGTTTCTTCGTGCTGGGCCACCGTCTTCAGCTTCGTGATCGCGCCCTTTGGTTCGTCACCAGGCATTCCACTTCATCGAGGCGATCCTGCGCATGAAGCTGGGCCCTAAGAACCGTCTTGCAGAAGCCATCTGACTTGGTGCTGAACTGCTAATGTCAAGGTGTTCACTAAGCTTGGGATTCCCAACAGTGGCCCACACGGTTTCCTCTGCTTCGGGCCTGCGGTGGGTCACTGGTTACCCCATATCAATGTAACTGTCGTGCTTCTGCATGCTCGTGTGAGGCAAGCAGGCACAAAGAAGGCAACATAACCTCAACCTTTTCATCTGAAATCTGACAGATACGTATCTTGACCTGACCTAGCATAATGTAGCACATCATAGCATTGCACTAACTTGACTTCACCTGATCGGGCCTGGCAACACATCGGCTCACCTTGCGGAATCGAGTGTAGCCTCGGTTCACCTGCTCACCGAAAGTCATGGGACGGGTCGTTCGCTCGTCTGCTGCTACTGTAGCCGGCCTGATTCACTGACCCTGAACAGGGGTCAGCAGCCGTTTTGTCAGCGCTGATCACCTAACAGCATCCTTTTTTTGATGTTGGGGTTGGCAGCGACATCAACCTTTGAAGTCTAGGCTTCGCCAGGGCAAGTCCAGGTCGTACATATTCAGTGTCATTGTGTACTTGAGTCATGAGGCCTTCTTGGGGTTCTGGCCTAAGGCCTCCACTTCGGCTGCAGGGCCGGCTGGCTTAGGTTAGGTTAGGGGGGTTGGGCCAGGTCTAGTTGTGTTCGTGAAGGTTAGACAGGTTGGCCAGGTCCGGTTGATCTCCTTGAGCGTTTCGGATTTTCGATCTAGGAAGTTTCTTTCCGGAGTATCCCAGTCTAAGAACAATTTCCTTAAGGAGTTGCTGGCTTGATGCTTGTTGTCAGGAGTTGTTGAGGGCTCAAGCTTCCCACCCTAGCTCACCTGATGTTAGCTCATCCTAATGTTTGTACCTTCCGGTGGCCCTGCCTGACCTAACCTGACCCGACGCGACCCGACCCCGCAGAACTCATGAGACCCAATCTAATTAGATGCAGCCCAATGCAACACAACATAACCAACATGACCCGTTTACAGACTGTCAGATAATCACATTGATTCAGGCGGCCGGTGCAAGGCTTGGATGTGGCGGTCTCCAAGAGCATGATGCGTCGTCTTGTGCTTGAGGCCTGTTCTCGGTGTGCGAGCGTGCATCAGAACGTTGCAGTGAGTGGGCTCGAGGGCCCGATTACGTGGCCGCGAGGTTGAGAGCCTCGCCACCAATTGCATCAGGCCTTTGAGGGGTGAGGGCCAGGGCGTCTACGGCCTTTGAGCTTTGCCACAGCATGAGCGGCACAGAGGGGTCTGTTTCTGTAACTTCTCCACCGGAGGTGCCAGGACTGCTTCCGATCCGTCTCCGAGAAGCTCCGTGAGGAGCACCGGGAAGAGGGGTTGGCACCATCTCTCAACGTCTTGACGAGCAGTGACTACTTGTAGCATGTTTGCAGTGGCGAGGTGGAAATCTTGGAGGATCATGCTGAGGTTGGCTGCCCGGTTAAGCGACTTCAACCAAAACTGGAAGCAGAACCGACGGCGACGCCTAAGCAAAGGTGGCGACCACGGAGTCCAGGATGGAAGTGGACAAAAACGCGGCTGCCGACGAGGAGGCCGTGGAGACGCACGAAACAAGGGTGGCCTGGCATAGCAGACAAAGATCCTAAAGCCCTGCACGACTTCCCCCGAGCTTCGATTAGTTGCTGCGTCCAAGGCAAAGATGTACTATTCAGACCTGATGCGGCGGAACAGGCGCTGCCTAGAACTGTACCATGCGCTAAGGTTGTCAGGCCATTGCAGAAAGCTTCCAGAGAAGCCCCCATGTGCTTTGGCAGGCAGCTCGAGCTGAAGATTGCCTCCATCAAAGCCTTCGTGCGACCCTAGCGACCCTAGCGGTACGGTTGACATGCCGAATTTAAGCTTGCACCCTGAGGTTCGGCATGCTCGCAAAGAGACTGCTGAGGAAGAAGGCACGCTGAATTCCCAAGCCTCTCTCGTGACGTGCTGGACTTGAATTGGGGACAAGGATTGTCTCTTGCACATCTAAGCAGATTCAGCTAGAACCTCAGAGCAAGACCATCGAGATTCGGGATGCAGTTTTGTGCGTGCTGAGGCCTGCAGGCGGGGAGTCTGCTTCCCCGTGGCCGCGCCAGAGGAAGCTCAAACCAGGCTCGCAGCTTCTGAATTGTCCTGCAAAGCCGCTGTGGGCATGTGATTGCATGTCGAAGGAGACGAAACGGCCGCGTTCAGCCAGCCCTGGCTGGGACTGAAGTGCCTTTCATCAAATCCATCCGGCCTGATAGCAGCAGAAGGGAGGAGGGGTAAACCAATCTTTGAGTAAAACTTCAACAAACTCTTAATTCAGACGCTACGTTGGAGTGGAGCACCGCTCGAGCTAAACCAGAGTACGTATTGTGCTGTGAGCGATTTCCAGCGATTCGCAAGTAGCTCTCGGGTCTGCCGGGAACCGGCGGGCCTGCGGCCGTGACCAATGGGACCGGCCTAGTAAATGCAACTGAGCTGGAGGCGGACAGCTCAGCAACTGCGAAGCATGAAGCCTAGGCCTAGACTTAACTGGAATGCCGAGCTGTCTGCGTCCCAAAGTTGAAGTTGAACCACTTCAAAGCTCAGCCTCAGCTTGTCTTCAGAGTTGGACAGGCGCGCGTGTACAGTCTGCAGCGGAAGATGCTCTGTGGTCTTGTGGTTTCCGTCTTGCCTTTGACACTTGTCAGCCTCAGCGACTCCTGTGTTATCCGTTTCTGCGCCTGGCACGAACCTGCCCGAACGCCCGACACTCTAACCCTAGCTTGTCCCGTTTTGCATGCTATGTCATCCAAGACACGCAAAAACACCATCTCTGCCGCCTCAACACGTGTGCATGTTGGCAATTCCCTGCTCTACGATGCCCGAAAGACTCCGAATCTGGAGCCCCCGTGATTCCAAATTTGCCGTGACAGATACTGGTATGAGAGTCACACTGTTGCTGCTTATTCCGGAGGCTCAGATACAATGGGACACGCACGGCTAAGTTCTCAAGATCGGACCATACCGTGGGTGCTTCAATGAGCTTGCGCCCCATAGCTGCACGTCCCTATGACACCATAAGCATGTGAATGCCTTTACAAAGCAAGGTGACACAAGAATCCCAGCCAGCGGCACCTTTGAGCCTTTGAGCATCTTTGAGCCTAGCGGCGGCTAGCTTTAATCGAGAACCTCAGCTAAAAGTCTCGGCGAGCCTGGGAGAACTTTGGAGACGTCGCCTCCCTTTTCCGGGCATGGAGCTCGGAGAGGCTGAGGCCGAGGCCGGCCCGGAGTTCGAGGTGCAAAGCTTCCAAGCTCTGGATCCTGTGGGCAACTTGAACTCTAGGACTTCCGAGGAAGGTGCTTGTACTCCAAGTTCGGCCGCATGCAAATAAAGCTGAGCCTGCCAGCCCGTGATGATATTCAAAGCGCTCAGACACAAGGGAGGCATCGCCTCTCCGCAGCTAGATTCTATAGGATTCTCTCAGACTGGGGGTTCAGAGCACCTTTGGGAAACGTGGAGGATGTTGAACAGAGCCTTGAATCGCATTGTTTTTGCTGAAAAACAGTTACAGCTGCCCGGCATAGACCGAAGCCTTCATGGTGTGTTGTTTGGATCTTCCTCCCTCTATTCCTCTGAACTTGGCTCTCATGCTATCTGTGTGCAGGACCAAAGTCTGCATCTTCTGAGCCAAGAGCTGGCCCATCAACAGGCCTGGAAGCTTACGGCAGTATTGCCATGCCTCATAGCATCCTGATAGCCGCCGTCAGGGCCTCATTGCGCACTTGCGCAGAGAGGTTGACAGCTGTAGAGAAGAGGCGCCCTGTTGCTGGTGGGTCAGCACAAGCGATCGCAAGCCCAACTCTTGCCAGGTTGGTGCCCTTCGTGACTGTCTCTCCAGCAATGGCGACAAGCACTCAGATCTTGCTGTGCATGGAGAGTTCAGGAAGGACACATTGCTGTAATTTCTTCAATTCTTGTAAGACTGCCTCGCCTCGCCCGAGACAGTGGACAGTGTGCGATTTCTGGTGCATCTGCATCGGCGCCGCTTCGACCAAGCATGCCGGTGACTCGGACGTTTCCGTCGCTTCGGCACGGCTGCCGGTAAACTTGCTCCTTCCTTTTTGTGCCTTTGTGCTGTGACTGATGCACGCACAGCGTAACCTTTTGCCAGAAAAAGCTTCCATTAACAGGAACAGTATCCCCTATGTCCCGCACCTCGACTGAGCTGAGTGCGGCTTGAGAAGTTCTAAATAGCAGGACATGCGTCGTCTTCACAACGATCGCAGTGGTGTTGTGTTTTCATAATCTGATCTGATGTGAGCAATTCGGGAAGAAATCAAAATCTCGTAGAATCTGATTGAGATCAGTATGTTCGTGGCAAAATCATTCGGCGAGACATCGCGTCTTTTTCCAGCTGGTATCAGGTCGAGTTTTCATCTTCGCTTTTCGTGAAGCCGTGGCTTGTCCGGGGTGTCATGGTTCAAAGTTAAATTGGATTTTCGGCTCAACGATTGAACTTGATGAAGAAAAGATAGAGATCCTGCTAGTCCAACATGACGATACGGTTTTACTTACATAGAAGATGCGGGCTGCCTTAAGTAATTATTCCGGAGGTCGACCGGCTTCCGGGATAATTAGGTTCGGAATCATTTATGAGATGTTGAACAATCACAGCTTTCTGCATAAGATCGCGGTTGCGATGTTCCGAGGGCTGTGCGGGCGAAAACGCAGGGAGGCAACATTCAGATTCTTCAAAAACTGTAAATAAGAACATCCGATCTCTGAAAAATCCCTGGCGATTTTGTCTCGCTCCCTGCGCGTGCCCGACAATGCGGTTGCTCAATTTCCGCAGACAGCGTGATCCCAAAAGCAGACAGCAGAATTGAGGCTCTGCAAGAAACCGAAGGAAGAAGATCTAATTAATTTCTTATGACCAGTGACGGTTTCGTCCTGCTCCCGTCGCACCTCGGGCAATTCGGTTGCTGAGTTTCTGCGGGATGTGCTGTCGAAGTGGCTTGCGGCCGGGTTGACATTCTTCAACAAATTTTTCTTGAACATTGGATCTCTGAGAAGCGTGTGTTGATTTTTTCGATTTTTCGTTGCACCAGGAGGGTTTTTCGGGTACCCAGGGGGCTTCGACTTCTAAGTGTTCTTTCACCATTTGGGGTCTGCGCTGTTATGTATACGGCAGTGTTGGTAGCTTAACTTGACTTGTTATTGTTTTGGCTGAGATTTGGTGAACGTCGTATTCTGTCGGAATCGGATTAACTTATGGATTTTGATGCGAAGTAGTGGAATTCGTGCCCCATCATTGCAGTTAGTCCGATCAGGATTTCGGTGAGAAATCACGGACCACGGAGAGTTTGTTTGCGATTGCGATATAATTCGAAATAGGAGCGACGTGAGAAATCAATCGTGAACATTGTTTTTACACCCCTCTTCTTGGACAAAAGGTCCGACTTAGGTAAGCGATCGCGGAAATCGTCCTTCAGCGCTAGCATTCCGATCTGGATTAGGGTTTCGGGGCATTCGCTAGCTTCGCTGGGTTTTGTCAGGAAGTCGTGGAAGTCGTATGGTGTAGGTGTTAACTTCTTGTTTTTTGGTTGGAGGGCCTCATGCCAGATTACGCCTGCAGAAAAGCATCAGTACGATGCTTGGACGTGAACTGACATAAAGTTGTTTACTCAGGTGCGGTCTATGGTCTTGGCCCTTGCGTCCATGCCTTAAAAACCCGCTCTTCCGAGTGTTTGGGAGAGGAGAGCGACTGTGGCCCTGTGTTTTTCTCTTCAGAATCTCCAGAGGCGCCGCTGGATGCCGTGATCGACATCCGGGCGTGACAACATGTCAATTGTCGCCGTGAGCATCACTTGACGGTAGAAGGCCGCAACTTTTCGTTACTATGCTTCGAGCCTGGAGGCAGTTGCCTACGCCATTGGCAGCTTTGCCGGGTACTCCGCGATGCGTGCTCTGCGCGAGGTGCCGGTTAAACAGATCCGCCCGCTGTCCTGTGCTGCTGTGCTCTGTGCCAAGTGCCTTTAAATTTAAGCCGCAGGTGATCTCGGTCCAACCCCGTAGACTCACAGACCTTTGGTGGAATGCCTGGAGCGACCCGAGACACACGCTTGCTTCGCCGCCGCAGGTGTGTCAAGCTGCACGATCAGCAGCTGCGGATATCCTGGACCCTCTTTGCCCAGGCGACTTGGGGATACCACATGGCCCTGTGTTGCAAAGCACAGTGATTTCGTGGCAGGTCACCTGTACCTGTGCGGTGGCTTCGAAGGCACTTCGCGAAGTGAAGTGACTCCTCGTTCTCGTTGTTTTGCATTTCAGCGCGTGCCGCGAAAGTGCATGCAGGAGCTCTGGCTTTGAGCTCCGTGGAGAGACTGGATCCGCATGTCGGGTACTGACCGGATTTTGCAGTGTCTTTCCTACTGGCAGAGTGCCGCTGTTAAGAGAAGATCCGTGCTGGATGCGGTTGTGCAGCATTTTGGATGAGACTGGTCGGAAGTGCATGGAAGCGTTAGTTATATAGCACGTGACTCCGGTGCAACCCAAACAGACAGAGGCTTCAGGTCCGGCGGGATTAGGGTTAGGGGGTCACACGTTGATATCTTGCCGTGTGGCAGCGGGCAAGTCTGTTTTAGGGCAAACACGGCAAATGCTGTAAGTTACATTGCTTCGTGCGTGTGGCTGTGGAAATGGAGGGTTCGTGCTTCAGGAACTCCAGGGACTCGAACTGAGGGCACTCATTTGGGCACACTTTCCCACAAGTGATCCGCGACATCCGCTATGGGATCCAACTGCGAGCGCCAGACCAGCTGTAGGTCACTGCAGGTGTATTCAACGAGACGCACATTGTATAAAGAGGTCAAAATGCTGTGAACAGCAGGGTTTGGGGTGTATTTGCAAAATGGCATGAACACTTGTGACAGCCCTTCGAGTTGCTGAGCATCAAACATCCTCCTGCAACATGCTCAAGTAGGAACCAAAGAAGGGCAAGAAGTTGCGTCTTTTTGGTTGCTTCCGCCGCGTCCGCCGAGCAACCGCTGGCAGCCTCGTCCGCGTACCTGCAACATCCTGCAACATGTTGCATAAAGAGGCAAATGCAGTAAATAGCAGCAAGGTTTGAGGCATGCTCGCAAATGTCTTGAACACTTGTGACGGTGTGTCGTGTTATCAAACATCCTCCTGCGACATGTTGTTTAAACAAGCAAAAATGCCGTACACAGTAGGGTTTTGGGTGGGTTTGTGTAACATGGTCGTAACCACCCCCTCCCCCCCACACCACCAGATAGGAAAAGTGAAGAAAACCACACGGGCAAAGACCAACGTGTGTGGGGGTTAGGGCTGTCGCTTCCAGACTGTGGATTCCAAGACACAGCTTGTCTCCCGAGGCTGGGGTCTGGGAGGCTTGGAGCTGGGGCAAGCCTTGCTGGGCGACGTTGGGTTTTTCTTCTCATGCACCCTTTTTAACAGGTGCTCCCGCCCATGACAGAGGCTCGGCAGTACACCTGTGCAGGAGCATATCCCGGCATCTGTCAAGCCAGTCAGCTTTGATTGTTCCTCGGAGGAGTAATGGCCGGCAAGATTTACGTCTGTGGCGGCACGTGCCTTATGGCAAAGAGATGCCAGGATGGGGTTTCTGTACTTCTGTGGCCAGAAGCTGACTAACAAACCAGCGGGCACACTGCTGTAGGTTGGGCTGGACCCCAACCTGTCCGAAGTGTGGAGTGCTTTGACCCCGATTACTCGAGGCAGGTGGGTCTCATTCCCTGTTACCTTGATCTGATTGGACTGATGCATCATCGAAGACACCGTGACAGGTGGTCGCCCATGCCGCCGATGATAGTAGCCAGGTTCTCTCTGCCGATCTCACGCTCTCGAGCTTGAGTTCGTGTCTTCAAACAATTCAGAGGGATAGCCGATGGCCACAGCGAAGAGCTGTAGAGCTGCATCTGTCGTGTCGTGGAATGATGTGTTCCAGATTCCTAACTCGTTCACCAACTCGTGCCTCTGTCTGCATTTGTTGCATCGTTTGCTTGGAGCGGTTGCTGGCTCTGCGTTTCTCCAACTAGAACACAGCAGGGGAAAACAGTAGTAGCCAGTACTGGTGGTCCGAAGGACTCATGTCAACCCTGGCCAGGTGGGGAGCTGGAGCAGGCCGCAAAGACCGGAAAGGAAACAACCGTCAACTCAAATTGCCTTTGCTGCTAGGTTACCGCTGCTGGCTCATATAGCAGTACCAGACGAAAGTGATAGTTCAGCCGACTTCAGGAAATCCATTCATGATTAGCTCTGGTGCGCCACCATAGAGACGGTCGCCTTTCGCACCCCATGGCGTGCCACCAGGAACAGATTCAACAGTCCCAGTCGCGAGCGTATGCCATTTTGGATGCGCAGGTCCTCCGTCCTTCATCGCTTTGGTGTTGCGGAAAAAAAGACCCATTGTGACTTGGACTTGTGCGTCAGACGCGACATGACGCGACTGAGGCCAACTTGGTTGCCGAGCGAGAGCTTCTCAAGAAGTCCTTCGATATGGCTCAGCAGACGGCCGCAGACCAGCAGCTGCGGTCCCAAGCGGCTGCCATGGCCATCTCAAGAACTCTCGAGGAGCAGCAGTCCTTGCAAAAAGAGCTGGCTTCGACTCGCGCCTCTCTGTATCAGTTGAGGAGTACATCCATGGAGCTGCAAGCTAGTAGCATCTGCAGATCAGTACTTTTGTTCTGCTTTATCAACTTCAGAGGCTTCAGCCTTCTAAAAGCAGTGCAGTAGCGTTCTTTCTCACGCAGTGCAACGAAACAAAGGCCGCATGCGATGTTCCAAGCAAGCTGAAGAGCTCGCACAAACGGCTTCTGTGCAAGAGATGATGTGCAGACAGGACCTCGTGCGCCTGGAGGCATACTTGCATGATGCCTCTGTGCACAACATCGGCAGAAAATCAGCCGTGGAAGCCAAGAGTGCCGAGGCGTCTAAGCTGATCAGACATGCGCACGACTGCGCGGACAGGCGAGCTAGAGCTGAAGACCAGCTCCAGCAGACCTTATCCGAACGCATGTTGCGCGACAGGGTACTGGTGGCTAAAGTGAACGAAATTGTTAACAAGCTGGAGAGATCGCGAGCACTTCGCCACATCCAAGAGCGAAGCCGGAGGAGCCAAGTTGACGAGCTTTTGCAGCGCATGTACACTATGGCGTCTGCACCCACTCTGCTCTCTGACAATCCCTTCATTGATTCTGGCGGAGGGAAGACCTGAAGAAGCGGAGTGGAAACAAGAATCACGGGTCTGCTTTTCTGCTCATCGCATTGTGCGCTTGCTTGCGCTTGACCTTCACTTGGCGAGCAGGTGTGATCAACAAACGACTCTTCATATGCGGTGGCCTGGATGAGAACAGGCACAGTGGTATCACACAGTCTTGTAGGATTGCTGCATGGCCAGTGGTTTTCAACAAATTGCACAAATCCCACCTTGCCAGGCAGCCTTTGAACTCGGTCGAGTGCTTCACTCCGCCAGGTCCTGCATGCGCAGCACCATGGTAGGATCAAGATTATCGTTCAGCCGGCTTAGACGGTCCACCTCGAAGACATCGCACAAAGGAGTTCCGATGCAGCTCCTGCACGTCACTCCACGGGCGCGAGCCCGGTACCGGGACCACAGTGCGATAAGTCTACATTTCCTGGCCTGCAGGCGCAGCAGACGTCAACCGGCAGCTGGCAGGCACCGGGGTGGGGGGGCAGCAGCGCAAGGGTCTAGGAATCAGGACTCTAGGGTGGTCTAGGTCGTCCTTCTGCAGGCAGTCTCTTCAATGGCAGAGAGACGTGGGTGGCCCGCAGCTGTGTCGCTGCAAGGCCGAAGCGCAGGGTCTCAGTTCTGAAGGCTTGGGAAGGCGTGGAAAGCAGCACAGGACTACTCTATGTCTGCGGTGGCCGAGATGAACAGAGGGAGCCGCTGAGCAGCCGGAGCTTCAGACCCTAAAGCCCTCCGTAATCATGCCGGTCGCTGCCAGAGGCTGCCAGTGTGTGTCTAATGTGAGGCGTGGAGAGACTGAATCATCCACCGAGCATTTGGCTTCCGCAAGAAGCTCTGGATCTTGCATCGCATGCACGATCGTCATTCAATTCGCATGGCTAGGCTTCCGCCGCTGTCTAGTCAGCGAGCAGGCACGCGTAGTGCTGAGAGGTTTCAGTGAGGTTGCAATTCATGTCTGGAGGAAGACAGTGCTCGACTCTTTCTGCCTCCGTTTGCACATTCACCGCTTGTGCTTCACAGCTTGGACTGCATGTGGATTTTGCGCCTCGAATTCTCTCTGTGACGGCTCTCCACCGTCAGGTTATTGAGTTGACTCAGATAGCCAGCGAATGCAAGACGAACCAACTGCAAACAAGAATGCCAACTGCTACAGCTTTCTCGTGGGCCGTACTGGCAAGCAAAACCCCAGCCCTAAGCCTATGAAACTGCATGCTTTATAGCTTGTTTTTATCAGTTAAACGAAAATGTATAATCAACTCCTGGTGATCCTGGATCTCTTCTTCTTCTTCTTCTTCAACTTTGACTCTCAGCCACGTGCAGACGTTGTCCTCAAGCTGTTGTGCATCAGGCCAGCTTATGCAATACTGATGACTTTCAACAGTATCCTCCGAATCTCCAGCAAGCCGCTAATGCGGCTTACTGCAAGGCATGCGCTAATGACAATGAAACGAACATGCATGGCAACAAATCGAACTTCTCCTGTGGTCGACGTAATGCTAGTTCTGGCTTGATCACCCTGTGCTCGAGCACGGGTAGGACATGTTCGGACAAACATGCTTGGTTTCAACCGCGTGACTTGCCAACCAGGCGCATCAGCTGCAGCCTGTGGTGGCAGGCAAGCATTCCAGCGATGTCAAGTCGAATGGTACAACCGCCTGAGATATTGTTGAAGAGGCTCTACGTATGTGGAGGAGCATTTGGCGCGGGAGACTTCGCTTTCGGGAGTGGTGGCCAGTCCACATAACTGCGACGAGTGCGACGTGCGTGCTGCCCCCAAGGCCCAGATGCTCAACTCGGTGGAGCGCTACGACCCCAAGGAACATCGTCGCGAAACTTTGCCCCAAGACGTTTTGTACTGTGATACCACCGGCAGGTTGGCACCTGGGAAACACTGGCACCGATGTTGAAACGTTCTTGGCTGAGTACCCCGGAGTTGTCTACAGCCTACAGCCGTTAGCCGTTGGTGCAAGGCTGTTGATGCTTCGTAATGGGTGGACGGCACACCAGGTCGCGCCTACGTTGCGGCCGCTGGTATTGCTGGTCGAATACATGTTTTTGGTGGCAGCGACGGTGGGCAGGTGCAGCGGGAGAGCGAGGGAGAGAGATCGAGAAACTGGTAGAGTGGTGCCTTGCGTGTTTCACGCCCGGACTTGGAAGGCAACGGTGGGTGGAAGCGTCTTGCACACCCAACCCCAAAGGCCTAGCAGCTCTAACACGCAAACTGTTACCGCAAGTGGACTCTGCTGAGCCGTCCTCAGAGCTCACTGAAATCAGTGGGGCCCCACACCGGGCTGGAGGGGGAGGGCGGGACCCTCCACTCATACTCTCCGAAAGCAAGACAGAGGGGAGAGGAGCCAGGTTGATCTTGCAAGCATTGGCATCCTTCTCACTTTAGTACCACTGGTATTCGCAGGAACTCATGATGTTAGCCTGCTATGTGGCCAAACCCCACGAAAAGCGTCTGCTTCGCTGCCCTGCTCGCAGTGCCTTGAGACGGCAGAGCGCTTTGATCCCGCTCTTGGCACATGGATAGAGCTGCCGAATATGACAGACAGGACACCCGACAACTGTGTATGTGAGCCAGTGAGACCTTGTCTTCGCTGTCGCATGTTTCCCGTCAGGAGATCTGGGGCCGCCTCGGTCGCTTTACTCATCTGACTCTCTGACTCGTCGATGCTCCCAAAGACCAAGGAGCACGGCGAAAGCACCGCTAACGACCCGACATCGCCTCACAGCGTGTTCCCGAAACGAAGGGGAACTGGCTGGAGATCGCGCGTTCTGTTCCAAACTGAGCAGAACTTTCGACGTGATGTCGTGACTTCCTCGTGTTTTTTCAGACAGTCATTGTGTCACCGATCCTATTCCGGTTCACAGATATTGAGCCACACCAGCTGAGCAGCGACCCCAGTGTGCACGCAAAGTCAGACATATCAGGACTGCTTGCCGACCTGAAGACATGGCTGCTCAGTGAACTGGTGGTGTTGACGGCGATCCCGCCATCCCGTCCCGAGAAGCACCAAAGAGTTGCCAGAGCGCGAGCATTACACGGCTGCGCTCGCGCTCCAATGGACCTGAAGCAATGCAGGCAAGGCGCAGGCCGTGAGTTGCTCAAGGCAATCCCACTCGTGTTCGGTCCGAAGTATTTACAACTCAAGGGCATTCGGCAATCCCCCGCTGGTGCCGCATTTTCTGTGACAGCTCTTGTCCAAGGGTGTCAGGCCGAGTGCTTTGACAGCATGGTGCGTGTCTTAGCGCCGTTGATGGCTTTCGAGCCACTGCAGTGACAAGGATGGATTTGGCCTTCGTGTCGGGGGCTGTGCAACAGTTCCCAACTCAGCTCAGAAAGTCACAATGCTGTGTGGCTACCAGGCTATTGTTGCCATCACGCTGCACATACTGCAGCCGTGATCAATATGTCCGTCCGGTTCTCGAGTCTGCTCGAGGCACCAAGGCACTGCATCCGGGAGCCGCAGGCTTACGCCAGACCTCTCCATGCCACGATCAGCACAACTCCAGCGCACGTGGCATTGGGAGCCGCAGTCACGATGCTTCCGTCGTTTCGCGAGCACTATGCGAACATGTTGATGTTGCCGTTTCTTCGAGGCTTGAGACCTGCAACTCGCCTGGAGCGGCCCAAGGTGCCCAGCCAGTCCTTTTCAGGCCCGGCCGGCGACAATGATGTCGTGAGCACTGCGCAAGCACATCTCTTCTCTGAAAGGCCAGACACCTCCGAGCCAGCCAGAGCCTTCCTTCAGAGGCGCGCAATTCCAATCTGCAAGCCTGTGCTGCTCTGGCAACCGGGAGAGGAAACGAAGGCGGCCAACTCAACCCCAGAACGCCCTTCCTATTCTGGGAAATCCAGACCCTGACACCCACTTCCCATTCCACGTGAGATTCTCGATCCAGATAATTCCACACGTGCTTCTTGCAGAACTGACGCAACTTGGGATCTGTCAGAATCAAAGCGCCAGGCCGACTCCTTCTTGGCCTTTCCGCTGCAGCTCTGTTGGCAGGGTGCCCGGCAGAAAAATTCTCAGGCCGGTGTCAAGACAGGGCAGCACATAGAGATGTCCTCGACGAACGAGAGTCTGAGGCGAGGAAGGGCTTGAGGCGTGTGCGACGACGTCAAGGTGCTCAGGTGGGCAGTGGGCACGGGCCGGATCTTGCGAAGTGGTGGACTGTGGAGTGGCGCAGCAGGTGAACACCCTGGAACTAAGCCCGGAGGGACTAGGCAGAGCTGCCAATCTCCCTCGAGTGCACCATGGAGCACCGTGGAATACAGGCTGGAAAGTGGAGGACAACGGCGAATTGAAAGAGCGAGTCGAGCCAGGGCCCTTGGCATGTCATGAACATGACAGGGTACGTCAGAGTCAAAGTCACCTGAAGACATGCAAGTGCAGTCTGCAAGGAAAGCCCTTGAGCGGGGAGGGCTCCAGGGAACGGCGCTGCGACAGAACAAGTCCGAAGCTTACGGATTCTTGTATTTCTTGTTCGGTCCGTCATTGCCCAATTTGTAGCTATGTACTGTGATAACATGGGACAGCTCGCGTGTCAAGTGCATACATAGTCTTGCAGTGCGAAATCGAGTTGGGTGGAGGCAGTGGCCAAGCAAGGGGGAGGTGCTGAGGGCCATCCCAAAGGATTGCATGGTCAAGGAGTAAGGACCTCAGACCTCAGAGGGCTGGAAACCTCAGGGTAGCATGGAGACCCCCAAGGACTGGACGGTCATTGGCACATGCCGCGGTTTCAACTTTGCAGGCCAGCCTCTTCATATTTCGAGATATTGGGCCGACACGAAGAGAGCTGTCAAGTCGTGTCCTTTGATGCAGGTGCTATTTTGTGGCTATCTCGCTTGGAAGTACATCCCAATGTCTGGCCCTTGAATTCCTGTGCCAGTGCTAGGGCACCACAGTTCTGCTGCGCAAGGACCGCAGCCTTTGCCCCCGTGTGGCTGCTCTACGCGGTGGTGCAGGGCACACTGGCCACCGGACCCTGGGTCATCGGCAGCAGCCTCAAAGGTATCGCTCACACGCTGCATGACCGCATGCGCACCGCGTGAGCATGCAGACTGTTCAGGTCATGAGTGTGGCCACAACGCATTTTGTAACGAGCAGTGGCTGCAGACTCTGGTCGGATATGTGAAGGGCCCCAGCCGCGTGTCGAGTCCACAATGCGTAGATAACTGGATGCTTTTGCCTCAGGTGTTGCACTCGGCCTTGATGGTGCGCATGCTGAGCACATGCGGTTGGCGTTTGGCTTCAGCGAGGTTTTAGGGACTCTCTGCTCTGCTCTGCTCTTGGCGCCAGGTGCCTTACTTCTCCTGGCAGCGATCTCACGCCGTCCACCACTCGAAGACAAACCACATGACGGAAGGTGAGACGCACGTCCCAAGGCTGCTTGATGCAAATCTCAAACACGTCCACATTGCCTGTGTCAGATTTGCTGCACTTAGGTTGCAGAAGGGTTCCGCCAACAAGTACCAGAATCTGGCTAAGTGGTTTGGCTCAGCTCTTAGAGTCTCAGAGCCGCACCTTCGTGAGCATCTGAAGCACGTGGTGCGAATCAGGCGTCGGTTCTGTCACTAAGGTCAGAGTTCAGTCGCAGCGACCCGGATGATCACACACCTCGTGCTCGGTTGGCCTGCGTCGGATTCCCAACACTCTTTCACACGGCATTGCTGTCGAAACTCCGGGCCGAGTGAGGTACATTCTTGGTGGTGCCACCGGAGGTCCAGCGTATGGCACCACGAACCACATGTGGCAGCTTTGCTCAGCATACAGTTTTTCCGTCTAGAGTCTCCAACAAGCACTTGATGCAGTCGTTTGGCACAGACTTTCGAGGCCTTTCGCGCCCTTCCGAAACGGGAGGAAGGAGCTGTTCCCCAAAGCATGGAAGTCGAAGGCATTCTGCATGGCAGCGTGAGCTGAGAATTCGGTCCTTTGCATTTGTAGCAGGTGTTGCAATCGGATGTGGGAATCGTCGCAATGGCCGGAATCCTGATGTGGTGGGCTTGGGCCTTACCGCTTTAGAGCGTCCTTTGCCTCTGTCGAGGCACTGCAGGTTGCATTGGATGCAAGCGCAGGCAAAGACCAGTGGATTTATGCCGGTCTTCGCTCTCTATCTTGCTCCTTTGATGGCCGCTGGCTTAGCGAAAGAACCCACATATTAAGACCTTCGGCTGGACCGGTAACGGGCATCGAGGTGACTAACTGCTGGCTGGTGCTTTACACCTGGCTCCAGCACACCGATGTTGACATTCCCCACTTTGACGAGGATCGGCTTCCACGGAGGCTTAATTAAATGTTAACCAGTCTCAACTCAGGCTTGGAGGCACGATGGACCAAGTCTATAGACCCTCCGATGCAACAGATGGGGCATCTTTGCACCATGGCCGTCCTCGTGCAAGTCCCGAAAACAACAGACATAGCAGCACGGGCTATTGTGGGGCACATGCCGACCTCTGTGGGCTGCCTCAGCCTGATGGCCCCCGAGCTGGAGGTCAAATGAGATCTGAGGTTCCTTGCCAAGTAAGCAGGTGCCCGGAGCCGCCCGGAGCCTTGACATATGGTCTGCCAGGAGAATTGGACATGGGTGAAGGGTGCGTTCCACACTGTCGACCGGCCTTACGGTTGGGCTCCTGGTCTTGGCGGTGACAAGCAAGGGAGTCCGAAGAGATTGGCGACAGGTCCCGTGCTGGACTACGTCCACCACAGGCACGGCCCGAAATGCCCGAAATCCAGAGAGCCGAGCCATCGCTGCCTTCAGGATCGGCTCTACACACGTGGCCCACCACGTTTGCTCGGCCATCCCATTCTACAAGGCCGGGGCCGGGCTGGGCATGGCCTGGAGGCCTAGACCAGGCGGACGAGTGTCTGTGCTCTGCAGGCGAGGAAGGCGACGGAAGCTCTTAAGGAGTGGCGGCCCGCTGGCCATCGCTGTCCACTGCTCCTGCTCCCACGCGCGCCTCCTCTTCCCTTCAACCTTTCGTCGGGCAGGAGAAGTTCCCCGATCTGTACTTGTACGACCCCACTCCGATCCACAAGGCGACATCACATCTCCGTTTTCGCTTGGTGACCGCTGCAAGCGAAGTCTTGTGCCAGGCGCTGTGGCGCGTGTCCTCTCGCTGCACTGCTGTGCAGAAGGTGCCAATGGTTTGGAGCCAGTCGGATGACACTATAGACATTCGAGTTTTTGTCAGGCGGAAGGAAACGACGGCATGTACATCTTCACCTGAGTGCGCGGGTTTTCAAGGGCGTCGGAAAATAGTTTTGAGGGCAATCCGCGGACATTGTCAAGCTACAAGAAGTTTTGACAAACACCGCCTCACCCACTTTTTTCCATCACACCGCAGGGCAGTAAGAGACACTGACAGCCAACAATAAGTTGATAAGCCCTCGGTAGGCTTAAGACTTCTTTTGGGTATGCAGGCTAAAACCTATTTCAGAGGAGTTCAAAGGTATTGTATAAGGGTGGTTTGGAGTTGAATAAATGTGTGATTAAAGGAGTCGATAGCAGTGATCCGTCGGTTTTCAGGGATGCCTAAATCAACTTTTCTGGCTTAAACTATTCGTGAATTGCCCAAACTATAACCTTTTGGCGGTATGGGTGTTAGTAGTTTAAGTTAGATGATGTCATATGCTTTTGTAACCATTTGCGGTAACCTAGTCGCAGGTAGTTCGGCTTACACCTTTACCAACTCTTGAAGAAATTTAGAAACCCTAAACCAAGCCGTACGCCATAAATCCAAACTCCGACACGCCCCAACTTCCAAGCACAAGAACACCCAGCTCTCATGCGGCATTGCGAGTGGTTCCTGGCCCCGGGTCTATACTAAGTAGTGAGTACTAATTTACATTTACAGTAATTGGCAGTGAACTTAGCTCCGGTTCAATGAAACTAGCTGAATTTAGACAACCCATACGAAATTCAATGAGTTCGAAAAATATAGCAATCAAAACTATATCGTAATTTTATCTAGCAAAATTATATTTGTCAGTAATTCAATGAAATTGTTTGAATTGTTTCAGCTGTATATTCATTCTAAGATACATCGTTTACTCCATTCAGTGATTATAACTTATGTCATGTACTTGAGTGAAGTGGGTTAACTAGTTGAATTAGTTGTAGTAGTTCCATTGATTAAGCTACTCGATTAGAATTTTCTTGTTACTGAGTTTAGTTAGTTGATGAAGGCCAACTTTTATTGTGAGTTAACATACCGTGTAATTCGAAACGAGTTTATAGTTAAGTCATCTAGTTTCATTGGTTGGATTGATTTATCTTGATATTGTTAAGTTGTTGGATGAACTGGTTTTTAGTGACCTTATGTATGTTGCGGAAGTGAATCGGTATGAACGGTGTGAGTCATGTGTCATGACTCGACAACCCGAAAATCAACTTCGACCGAGCATGGAGCTAGGCTTGACAAAGGTATTGTCGGTGCTGGTTGGGTTGGGAGCGGCCAGCCGGTTCGGAACCCAACCCGTCGGAACCTGTCGAACCCGTTCGGAACCCGTTCGGAACTCGTCCGGAGCCCGTCCGGAGACCGCCCCTCCGGCACCTGTCCGGGTTTGGAGCCCGTTCGGAACCCGTTCGGAACCCGTTCGGAATCCGTTCGGAACCCGTTCGGAACCCGTTCGGAACCCGTTCGGAATCCGTTCGGAACCCGTTCGGAATCCGTTCGGAACCCGTTCGGAACTTGTTCAAAACCTAGTCTTAAGCCTTCCCGGGCCATCCCGAACCTTAGCGGCCTGCAGCCGGAAGGTTTGGGAAGGCTTAAGACTGGGTTTCCGGGTTCCGAACGCGTTCCGACCGGGTTCCGAACGGGTTCCGACCGGGTTCCGAACGGGTTCCGAACGGGTTCCGACCTGGTTCCGAACGGGTTCCGACCGGGTTCCGAACGGGTTCCGACCGGGTTCCGAACGGGTTCGGAACGGGTTCCGAACAGGTTCCGGACGGGTTCCGAGAAGATTCCGAACGGGTTCCGAAACGGTTCCGAACCAGTTTCGAGCGGGTTCCGAACGGCTTCCGAACGAGTCACGAACGTCCGAGCAGCTTCCGAACGGTTTCCGTGGGATCCCGGCCTTTCGACACCCCTCCTTCTTGCTCAGAAAAAACTACCCCCACCTCCGGGTGCTCTCCCAGCCCCCCAACCCAACCAGCCTTGACTGCACATTTGTCAATCACATCCGCAGATCGATTACCTGTTTAACTTCACAGCAACAAGTCGATCATAGCTTAATTTTCCAATGAAACAAAATAATATAGTTTAATACACCAGTTCAATATATAAAATACACTAAGTTAAGCTAAATGTATGAACCAGTTCATAGTACAATACTTTGAACTGATTAAAAATGCATTAAAATATCGTCATCTAATCTGGGTTTAGTTTATTTTAATAAGTTACGTATTCAAAATGAACCCTAACCAGACCAAGTTTTACATGGCGTTTTGTTAGTTCAAATTCAAACTCGTGTAAAATTAATTCAAAATGCAGTTTGAATGGAATGTAAAAGTGTAAACTGATTAAGTTAAATCAGACACAAACCAATGTCTGTCTAGCTTATTACTGTTAACTATGTCTGTAATTTAACACAGATGAAAGAGCAAAAGCTAACTCAATAAATAGTGCGTGAATTAGTTTGTGTTAGCTCAAAAACATTTAATTAATACAATTTCCCTTGGTCAGCTCGCTGCAAACCGGACTTCGTTGATGTGCCAAAGGCCAAGTGTCACGACATGTCGCAGGAATTGCCGCGTCAAAAACACACAAACTACAAGTTGCGAGAACCCTGGCACAATATTATGTCGGTGACTGCTTGCAGTGCACGCACAAAACTTTAACGATGACCATCTTTGATGCGGAAGTTATCAGTCTCGGACAGGCCAGCGTCCTCACTGACGGCAGAATGAACCCACTACAATCCAAATTTAGATGTCTTCCAGGACGTGCTTCTCAACCCAAAAAAACACCTAATAATCGGTTACGGACCCACTACAAGCCAAAATCAGACCCATCCAGGATCATCTTTCCAACCCGAAGAGACAGCCTAAGATGGCATGTACTGGGGGCCACGGAACCTGTAAAGACACCAGTCTTAAGCCTTCCCAGGGCTTACCAAACAATAAGTGCACGCCAGCCAGGGAGAGAGTTTCAGAGTCTATTACTGTGCTCCGCTGCCTGGACACTGTCCAGTTGAATGTCGAAAGTTCTCTCAAACACCTCGAGTCAAGCCGGCTTGCTGCTGGCACAGAGGTCAATTCTGCAGGAATTGTTCAATTAAAGTCTGAAATCAGATTTCTCATGCGGGCCCTTTGCTCCGGCCTGTGGCTTTTGCTTCAAGCATGAGAGCACCGGGCGGCGAGCTACCGGACGGTGATCTTCATGTGGCAACGGCGACTCTTTCTTTGTATCAGAATGTTAAGAGCTGACAAATGCCCATTGCCGCAAGCGGAGATCATCACTGGCTGACTGTGCCCAGCTGCTTGGAAGATTTTCACAAGGTGCGCGCGGGAGCCAACGGCTCCCAGCCAAGCGACAGCCTGTCCGCAACGTGACATTCCTCGTGGGGAACCCCTCGAGTGGGCATCGAGGCGATGTCTGTGAAGTTTTTTCCACCTGCCTTGGCGTGGCAAAACAGATGTTGAAACCAAATGTTGCAACAGACGCTTAGTCAGAGGCTTGCAGTGTGGTTCGAGCACTTCTAGATTCTAGCACATGCTACGCCTTCAGGTTGACAGGCACCATGGTGAAGAACCATAGTGCTAGTTCCTTAGAGCAGTAGCCTCGATTCGCCCCGCGAGTACGTCCGACAAAAAAGGAGGTTCGCCACTGCCACCAGCTCTCTTGAGAATGGAGTCTCGTCTCTAGGCTTTTCTTCCGCATACTCTAGGGAGGCAGATTAAGGGGAGGAGCATGGGAGAACCTAAATCTGGACATTCGTGATCGGCTCGAAGAAGGAATCTTGCCTCGCTCGCTGGACGGTTGGGATGCTTCGGGTTTTGTGTCTTTCCTGCAGACTTACACATGAAACCTCCTTGTTGAACTTCAGATTCCAGCCTTTCGCCTCGCTTGAAGATACCCTCCTGCAACCAGCATTGGTGTTCGGATCGCATGTGGAACCGTATGTTCGCACATTCATAGCCTGCTGCGCGTTAGCATTAGATTGCTTTTACCTTATTGTATGGTGCGTGGTAACAAATTCAAGCTCAGGCGCTGCTGAACCAATCCGTTATCAGTATTTGAGTGGGCTCTACGAATCTTGAATGATGTGCCGTTTGCGCATTGCCCGCTGTAGCTGGCATGCATGTTCAAGGTTACAGACTTACTTCAGCTTTAGCATGCAAGCGGCTTTTAATCGGTGCTCTCGTGACCTCTTTCCAAAGCAGTTTGGTCAAATTTCACCTGTTTGGTCCTTCGGTGAGCAAGGAATGAACAAGCCCCTGAAATGATTAGCAGACTCAGCCATCCCTGCGTATAATTCCAGCATGCACAAACAAGCGACTCTGCATGATGCCAGCGCCCGGTGACGCAGCAGGCAAAGCGGCAAAGTGCTGATCATGCAGAATGATCCATGAAACTGCGAGCTTGGGCTTGCAGTGCGTGGCGCAGCCTTTTGACAGGCTGGTGAAAGCTTGGTGGAGGCTTCGGGCGTGTGCTGGCTTGATGGCTTTCCGGGGTCTGACGCGGTAACTCGCGCTTGTCCGAGGTGTCCCGAGACGGGCTCGGTGCATCATGGCGGATGCCGCCTTCTCGGCTGTAGCTGCAGGGGCTGTTTGCAGCGATTTCTTTTTGTGTGCGAAGTTTGTTCACGCCTGTTCAAATCGGACTCAACCTCCAGAAGAGAAAACTATGACTATAACTAGAGAGGACACTACTGCTACTATGCCATAGGAATTGATAATCACGCCTTGTTCAATTGATGGAGTGTCCAATTGTTGCCTAAATGAAGATCCATGTGGCCATCGGCAGCGGAATTGGCAGTGGTTGCAGCAACTAGCTGAACGCTGCGCGAAGCTCATGTTAAATTTGCCAAGAGGAAATTAATTAAATGCCTTTGATGGTCGTCGATGCCACTGTCGGACTAATGCTTCTTGAATGTCGTGATTGGGTGCTTCTCCCTTAAGTTTCAATCGAATCGGTCTTGTGTTCTGTTTTCGGTTATGGTCCTGCTCATGGATGTATCTTCGCAGCATGTGTGGAGCATTTCAAGCATTGATACACATGCTGCACTCCCGAACCACCTGGTGCGGGAGAGATATGCTGAAGCAATGTTTGCAGACATATAGTAATACAGCGCAGAGAACAGGAGGACTGCTGTGAGACTTCCGCAGTGCAGGGAGCCGATGACTTGGAGAAGCAAGCCCAGGCCGAGCAACCGCTCTCTCTCTCTCTGTCTGTGTCTCTCTGTCTCTCTTTCTTTCTTTGTTTGTCTTTGTGGAGAGATTTGCGTTGCTCATGTCGTTGCTTCGAGCACGAAGAAGTAGTTCTGGCGTTTGATGGTCCGAAACAGACATAGCATGCGCCCATGGCTTGGAGGAGATGGCCGAAAAGGCCCTTCCAGCAAGCGTGGTCCTGAGTCAGAAACAGCACCTGCGGTACAGCGGTGCGCAGAGCAGCATTGCTTGGGTCAGGTCTGCCTGAGGCTGCTCGCCGAGCCAAGCTTCCTGCTGTGAAGCAGAAAATCTTGGAGCGGCTCAAGGCCGAAACCGAAGTGGCTCAAGGCTTCCCAGCTCCGGCATCCCGTTGCTTCAAGGCTCAGAAAGCTGAACAAGCCGCAAAGCCTTTGGCCAAACCAGGCCCATGCCGTTGCCATGTCCACTTCAGACCATTTCGGAACGGACATCTGGCAGGGGGAGCGCCTGCTGCTCCGGTAGCTGGAGCGCAGGCTAGGGCAGTAGCATGCTCTTTGTCGTGCTTGTGCCGTCTGTGGAAGGTGCCTGGTCACGTACCTCCTCCCCCGCAGCCACCGGCACCGCCACCTCCACCTTCAGACGTGGCGAGGGGCCTAACTAGCCTTGCGAAGATCATTTGGCGGCTTGAACTATGTGGTCGCTCGGTGGAGCCAGTCTCACGGTCAGGGCGTCGCCATAGTCAAACTCGACGGAGTGGAGATCTGTGGTGACGAACCCTGGCATGGTGCTTGGACATACAGATACATACATGGAATCATGTCTAGCAAGCAGTGCTCCGACTTATTGCGCTTCGGCGCAGCTTCTGCTGAATTACGGCGTGTTGAACTCCGTGCAGCTGATCAAAATTGGTCCGAGGTTCGCAGACGCAGTCATTCGACGTCGGCTTCGCGAGTCTGCCTGAGACTGAGACATCGGGTAAGAGTAGACGTCCCTGCAGCAGGTGGGGTGCTGCAAGCCACGCGGTACACCAGCAGCTGCATGATGATACACACTCGACTCAAATCGATGTTGCAAGTTCTGCCCCATCGTTTCATGCTGCCGGGATTTTGCTTCTGTCGACTGCATCGCTGATTCGGAACGTGGCTTCTGACTTTAGAACGGAAGGGCTCAAGGCGCAGGGGGTTTGGGGTTCTGGATTTCAGGAGCCTCGCATATTTAAACAAGAGTTCGGTGGTCATAGGTGTCGGGGTGGAGGCACAGTAAAGGAAAGGGGCGTTAGCAGGCAGAGTGGATGCAGAGCCTTGCAATCCCGGGTGCTAGTGCATTTTCAGGTCGCGGATGCCCACAAGGAGCAGAAGATCCTTGTCGGACTGCCATCAGATGAGGTGGTGAGAATCTGTCCGGAGGCCGTGGCGTTCTCTTCCATTGCATTTGTGTTCCATAGGCCGTATGCTTGCAGTGGACACTGCGTCTGTTCCTACGAGAGGACGGTCGAGTCCCTTTCGCTGGGGCCGTGCTGCGGCTTGGTGGTGCTCATCTGGGTGGCTACGGGGAGTCAGACATTGCCTACGCATACCGCCAGGCGCCGCCAGGCTTAAGTCGACTTGCAACTCGCAACATCCCTGGCCTGGCAGCTTTCTCGTGCGCTCCACCCGGACAAGAACCCAGATTTGGGGGACAAGGCTGCTCGGCTGCATCCAGAGGTCCGTGACCCGCTAAACCCGGCATTGGAGAACAGTGAACGAGACTTGACACGTTCCACTTGAAACGGAGACTTGTTACGACAATGATTAATCGGGCTCGCACAGCTGAGGCTCAAGCTGCTTTTCACAGACTCTCGGAGGCCTGAGATTCAAACGCCAAGTCGCAGATGGTCGTAGCCCTCGTTGGATGCATCACGGTTTCGGCAAGCGCAGCCAACGATGGCCGACTCCTTTTGTTGGGCTGAGCGCTGATTGTCTTTGAGACGGTCTCGTGATGGTTGTTAGCCAGTCTCCAGCCCCCAGAGAAGACGCAGTGCTGGCTGTCTCTGTCCACTGTGGTGCTGTTCTTTCAAGGGTAGAGAGTTAAGAGCATATTATGGCTTGATGTTTCCTAGCTTTAAGTAGGCTTTGAGCTGCTCGCGCTTCATCTTGGTCCCTGTGAAGCTGTCCTGCCTAGGACTGTAAGGAAGCATGCCCCCACCTGCAGCGAAGGGCCTAATACTCCCTCTCAGCCCAGCATGGTTTCCCTTCGTCCGGGCCTTTTGTGCGCATCTCCTTGAACAGGCATCCGAAGAACTTCGGCAAGGACTGCAGGAGCAACGACATGCTTTGAAACTCATCGCTCGAATCCCAGTAGCCTTGATCAATGTGGATTCATGCAACTTGCCCTGTTCTTTCAGGTTGGCGTCATGGGTGGCACGGCCACTGAGATGATGCTCGAGAGGCCGCAGGAGGCTGACTCTCTGATGGAACCCAGAGGACGCCATGGATTTCCTTCGACTTTGACGCCATGGGAGGCGTTGTTTGCAGAAGCCAGTCGACTGCTCTGCTGTCGCCTCAACGAAGCTGTTCCCCAGTCTTTTGGGATCTACTGTTCAGTGTCTGCAAGGTGCAGTCTGTGGCATAGTCACCGAAGGGGAAGTCTCAAACGTGGCACAGGCAGAGCCTTGCCTGTGGAGGGCACGTAGGGCTACAACTAAGCAGCAATGCATCGCAAAATCTACGCTCGAGGACGCTAGGCCTGGGCGCCTGTTTAGCGTTGCGTCTGATCTGGCAGGGGCGAGCCCGTATCAAGTTTGAGCTGCTTGCCGGCATGTCTGGATGAGTTCTGCCTGGCTGCGTGCAGCCAGCCCGTGTAAGGCGATCTTCTCGAATGTTCTACAGCTGTCACATGCAGACGCTGATGACAGAGTGGTACGGCTCCAATCGGCTTGCTTCAAGACGGTGGAATATCACAGATCAGATCCGGCAAGTCGGTATCGACATCGGCAAGGTTTGAAAAGACGCATCTTCTCGATCTTTACGCCAGCGTGCTCTTCTCGGACATGCCTGTCAGGTATTTTGACACAGCTCGGCGAACTGCCAAGGTGCCCATCAGGACGGCGTACGACTGTGTTCGGACCCTGGCAGCGGAGGGGACATCGAGCGGCATGTCTCCTGCTGCTTGGCTGCTTCGATGCCAGGCTCCCAAATGCTTCCGAGCGCAGTTCTTGTGCCTCCTGAACAGGGCAGCTATGGCAGAGGCAACGCGCCGCTACAGCACTCAAGTGCTGCGGCTAAGATCTGCTACAACCTGCTTCGACAGGCGAAGCGCTTCAACGACTGTGTACGGGGCAGTAGCTTACTGAGTTTCCTTCCAGAAGATCACTGCGGCTGGCACAGCCTGGGCCGCTGTCTGACGGCAAATTCTGTCCGGGCATTAACGTGAGGCTGGCCGAAAATTATGCAGACGTTTCCAGAGATGAGCCTTTGGCGCGAGCTGCGCCAGGCCTGCAAGAGCCCGCAGTTGCGAGCATTCGCCAGACTATTATGCCGCGAGTAGGAATGGCTCCACATTGGGCTATACACACTAAGAGAGGAAGCTCACGAAGGACAACTCGAGTTTCAGGCCATCCACTCCCATGTCTGGGACAGCAGCGCGGAGCCCGTGCAAGCGCCTCCAGAGGCCAGGGAGTTGATTACTCTGCATGTTCCGGCGTCAAGACCACGCCATGCCAGGAAGTTCCAGCAGAGCACGGCAAGCGGAGCAGGAGCTCCAACATTTGCGCCCCGCACATCTCCAGAATTGCACACTGAGAGGAGCAGGAGCCGGAGAAGGACTTCAGAGAACCGGCATGAACTGGCAAGCAGATCGTTTTGCTTCTCCATACTGCCGCCGTCAAATGCCAGTCACAGGAGCAGGAGTCGAAGCCGTCGTCGTAGAGACAGGGACGACAAAAAGGGCCGTCGGTCGAACGACGATGAGGCACTAAGGTTTTCTGCACATTATCGTGCTGTGATAGCAATCGTGGGGGCCCAGCAGAGGTGGACGACGGCCGACGCCACCGAGATGATACGAACTGGTATGAACGCAATCCGATTCGAAGCCGTGCACTCAGCCAGCGCCACTCGCAAGTCTCGCAGGCATGCAAGCGCAAGAGAAGTGCTTAGCTGACAGGCCGTGGCCGAGGCTCCATGGCTGCTTCTGCCTCAGACAGAAGGAAGGCCATGGAAGGCCCAGGCAAGGCCAACAGACCCCCCCCCCCCCCCGGACTCGCGTTCTCCACTTTGAGGAACGGGAACGGAAAAGAGACTTGGCTTGGGAGGCACGACTCGTGCAAGCAGCCTCTGATGAAGCGTGCGACATGAGATTCCCATTCGTTGTGAAGGCCCGCTGGACGACCAGCGATGAAGATGGGCAGAAGCCATCGCAAGCAGAGGATCTGGCTGGGGCATGCTGGGTCTCCTCCATTCGGTTGCCCGAGCCTACTCGTAGCATGTTTGCAGTGGTTTTGATCGGTGGCACCTGGGGTACAAGCATGTATGTGCTTCGAGTTCCGGGCAAAGTGTCTAGGACGTGCCCAGAGACTGACAGACACAGCTACACACACACACGAACACACACACACNNACACAGACACACAGACACACACATACACAGACACACACATACACAGACAAACACGCACACACACAGGGACATACACACACAGTCACAGACAGACACACACACACACACACAGACAGAGACACGCACAGACACTTACACTGACACTTTGGCTTGGCACGATTGACTGCAGCGAGCGACCGACGGAACAAGACATCGACATAAGACATCGACAGATCGTCTTCCCGTGTCCTCGTCGTCGTTTGTGCCTCCTTTAGTCTTAGTACTGGTAGGGATAGGGTCCTGGCCCTGGCACCGGGATGCGGTTCGGTCCCGGTGCACCGGGTGGGTCCTGTCTGCACCTGTGAGGATAGGGTCCTGTCCCCATTGCCAAACAACAAGAATGGCTACCACTGCCCTGGACCGTGTGCGATGTCCGTTGCCAGGTGTAGTGGGCCGGTGCCGTGAGGCCAACACCCAAGTGTGGTTCAGGAGGTCAGTGCCCGGTGTGAAGAAAAATCGAAAAAGACTGGACCGAGATGGAAGCTGCCTCCAAAGTGTGGATGGCGGATAGTATGGTGTTGTCGCAGTGCGCGAGTGCGCTTGCACGCACACACACTCACACAGGCATGCTTGGGCGTTGAGTTGTCTCGCATCGCTTGGTTGAAATACACCTCGACGAGATTTGTGAGCGATCCCTATGTTCCATTCATCTGGCAGTGCCCACCTTGGAGTTTTGCACCTCCTGTGCACTTCTGAAGAAGTTCCAAAGTGCAAAGAAGTCGATCTTTCCGCTCCGGGTCTACATGGGCTTGTGCGACAAGAGAGAGCAGCGTCTACTTGGAGATTCGGTGGAAAGTGCCTAAAACCCCAACGTCGGCGACGGAGACATGCAGAAATCAAGCAGCATCCACACTCGGGTGACATGAATTCTCGCCGACTGATGCGAGCTAAACCCGCAGTTTGTATGTGTCCGTGTGTAATATGTGTATATATATATAGATATATAACATTCTGAATGTAATATACGACTAGCAGGACCATGATACACGTAAGTTCACGCAAGTGCTGCGTAAGTACCTTTCTATGTGCATGTCAGTGTCGGGTCCTCGAGACCGATGTCAGGATGAGAAGGTCTGCAAATTTTTGCTAAGACACGCCTGACCATATATGTCACCGCAGTAACACAGCGGAGGAGTCTGCCGAGCTCCCGCCGATGCGGGATGCGCGCGAGGTCATCGCTGTGAGAGCCTCGACGTGTGTAGTTTCCACGGATGGTAAAAATGTTTGAAGCATTCGCCCAGCCGCAAAATCGGTCAAGTAGTCCGCCAGATGTTGACAAGTGGGTTCCACTGACGAGTTTTGCAGAAGTTCTAGGACCGAGGTGGGGAAGACGTGTAAGGCGGGTCATGTCTGAGTTGTTGTGGGCCTCGTCACTAGTCGTTGAAGAGGCTGCTGCATGTTTCGGGCACTTGCTCAGGTCCATCCAACTGCCGGTTGGAGGGCTTGCAAATGGGCGCGGAAGTGGAGATCTGCCATGGCTGCGATCTTGCCGAGCGGTTTCGTTCGACCCCCAGGGAAGTGAAATCGACTATGAACTCGATGCCTCTAGCTGCAGCTGCCCTGGACTTTCAGGACGCTGCAGTTCCCCTAACCGATACAGAGGCGCACTGGGCTCCATACAAGGCGCAAGTGCCGCCGGACCTGGATCCAGGTGCGTAAACTCGGCCTCCTCCTGTGGAAGGCACGATGACGAGCAGGAACAGCCACCTCGGTCATTCATGTCTTAGTTTGCAGGACATCGTCAAATGGGTGCAGGAGACTGAGGGAAATCGCTACCTGGGCCTCTTCAGAAACTCGGCTGCGTCCCCTGCCGCAAGTGCTCTGTTGATGCTGATTACCCGGTGCCCGCTCATTCCATGTTCGTAGACATCTTCAAGCCTGTCGTCCTTCCACCTCTGGCTGTCTTACTTCCCAGGCAGATTTCCGAAAAAGGACAGACGAGCTCAAACGAGAGAAGACCTCTCTCTTTTCCAGATGGGATCAAGAAGCTGTCTTTAGTTTCTGTCCGGCGCACCCTCTAATCACCATGCCGAAACATCGGTTTGAGCGCAGGCCAGCTGTGACGGCAGATAGATCTGAGAAAGGATCCCATCGACTCCTAGACCTCTGTGCCGGCACGGTTCATGTAGTCTGGACGAAGCGATCGCCGAGTGAATTCTGCGAAACGAGTCCGCGATGACGACCATGCACCCATTCGGGGATGGGTCCACCGACAAATAGTAACTGATAGACTTCACAGACGGTAGGCATTGCATCATATTGCATCCACGTTTGTGCAGAAGACTCAGGAGCTGACCATCAAACATCCAAGACGTTCGGTTGGGATGGCAAGGACAGCAACTAGTGGAGAGCCACCTGCACCGCTGTCGGCACTGCTGTCGTGACCGAAGGAGATGCCAACGTCGCGAGGGTTGGAGCCCTTAGAGCCCGGGCAGAATTCGCCAGAGTGGTGGGCTCCTCGCAGCTTCCATGATTGCAGGAAGTTCTGAGATCTCGCTTCTCGCTGCAGGTCCTTCGTTCCCGTAACGGATCTGTTTCTAGTGGTGGGAGAAGGTCTCGCTGGAAGCTTAGGCCATGTCTAGTGAGTCTAGTGACTGCCGAAAGGCTGCGAGCATGTTGCCGCATTCCCGTTCTGAGGTCGGCGTGACCACCGAGGGCATCTTTGCTGAAAAGGCAAAAGGCCAGAAGAGAACATGTGGGGCTCTCAGCTCTCAAAGTGCTTCCAGACGTTCTACTACAATCACAGCTCCACCCCACTCAGGTCTCAGGGAATGCTACAAGCCAAAGTGCTCCACTCAGCCATAATGTTCGAGAATGTCCGAAGGTTTGGAGGTTCAGCATCGGAAGGGCTCTGCTGGTCTTTTCGTCGAGGATACTGTTCTGTTTGAGGCCTGATCGGAGAACTTGGCTAAGGCAGCTCACCGACCAGAATGGTGCCGACAAGGGCGGGCCACGCAACTGCTTAGCAACGGACAGTCTGCAGGACCTTGCACAGGCACAGAGCCACTGAGAGGCCTTGTCGACATGCAGCCGAGTCGGTCACAGCCAGCGTGAAGAAGAAAAGTGGACAGAGTGTCGGTCCCCCCCGGCCCCCCCCGCCCCCTGCGACCCTGCTGGCTTGCAGAGGCCTGCAGGCCACAGCTCTGCGACGCAAACTTCTGTTCAAGTGTAGAGAATGGCTTGTGGTGTGTTTTGCACGTGACTGGGCAATGGCTTATGGAATCTCCAGGCCCAGCTCGTGCGCGGTCAAAATGCTGGATGGTTCAGTTACACACCACATGGTACCTCCAAGAAGGCCGCCGCCGGCCCTCCGATGGCAGAGCTTGGCCAGGATCTGAAGTTTGGAGGAGGCCTCAATCAAGGGGTGCGCTCAGACCAGATCACCAAGGCCCAGGCCCAGGCAGACAGAACATCTCCGCGCCCGGCGGCACGGAATGCACAGAAAATCGGTGCAGGCGAGGGAGAGGATTTCGGTGATTAAGTCATATATCAACGGAGTGAGCTAAATTCAGTGGTGACCCCATTGATGAGGCAAAGATGTGCGCAGAGGAACTCAATCTGTTATGGCAAGCGCCTGCTTCTGTTTGTCACACCTTGTGTTTCAACAGTCTTGCTGTCAGTTGGTGAACGTCGGAGGTACAGAGAATAGCTCTGAGCACATGCTGTTCGTGCCTTCTGCGCAGAGGCCCGGGGGGCTGAAAGCTGGTATCCTCGTCAGGTTTGTAGAAGGCGCTCACCGAGGTTCTGAGTGTGTTTCAGATGTTTCTTTTCCCGAGGCATGCGCCGTGCCTGCAGTTCGCAACCGGGCAAAGCCGCAGCCGGGGAATCTTCTGGAGCTGCCGCCTTGGCGATGTGCTCTGCATTGCTCTGCTCCTGTGACGGGTTGCACGTGCTAAGGAGGAAGGTGATGGTGCTCAGGGCAGTGCTTCCAGAACTCCGAATGACAGGCGGGGCACGGCCGGGCTAAGGCAGTGAAGACAAGAACATCATGTCATGCAAGCCGTGAGTGCCAACAACTCTGCAGGGACGTGGATCCTGAGTTTACAAGACAGCGGGACACCCAGCTTCAAGCATGGAAGCAGTGGAAGCATTTCATGTCAATGCTTGCCTGCATTGTGCTCCTTGCTCCCGCGAGGTTTAATGCGTATATTTCAGCTTATTTCTTACCTCACCGCAGGTGCCCTGGAAGCAATAGAAGTTAAGTTCCGCATCCGTCACAGAGAGTCTGCAGATGTCTGCTAGCAACCTGATCCTGGATTAAGTGCTCCAACAGGCCCAACACAGGCCCATACAGGCCCTAGCGAACAGTGCGCCTGATGCCATACGAACAGCAGGCAGATGCCATAGCGCTGTGTCAACAACAGGCTGTGGCGCTGGTGTCGTCCGAAACTGGCAGGACTTTGCCTGCATGAATGCTCTGCTATTGATGGTCAGTGTAGTCAAATCGGTGGATGTGGGTGCGATTGATGGAGTCTTGGAAGACGGACCTCCAGATGTCCACGGGTTGCCAAAGCTCAGCCATCTCTTTGAACACTTAAAGCAACTTGACTAAGCGTTTGTTTCACTGCATTATGCGTGGTGTTGCGGACAGAGGCGTCATAAAAGCCAGTCTGTAACCCAGTAAGAATTGCACAACAACTGCAGAGACGACCGGTCTTAAGCAGCTACAAGCTCGGGAAACCCCCGACCCAATTTCCAAACATGCTTGGACTTGGAAGCGGGAAGATTTCCCACATCTTTTAAGTTGTCGTCCGAGAAGCAAGAGCCTGAGGCAAACCATCCGATATCTCAGGGCTTTGACCCCGGGGAGCATGCATGGATTCAAGTAGACTCTCAGCGAGGACTTCTGCCACAGACCTCGAAGCAGAGGTGCCGGTACCTGCCATGCGAGTGGAGTTTATCCCTGTGCAAAGCTTGAAGTGCAGAAGCGAATGTATTTCGCCAGACTCTCTGCTTTGCAGGCCAAGTGCTCTTCAGCGGAGCATGGCTACGCTTGGGTACCTTCTTCCTTTGGCAGGACTTAGCTTGTCTAGTCTGTGCAGTTTATCATCGGCAATCTGCACTCTGATCGGGTGTGTTGTATGTTCGGATTGAAGCCAGAGGAGCTTTGCGCTTATTGACGCCAGCATTCGCACGTGGCGGTGGCCTGGCCGCAATCATCCTCGACTCTGCCCCGACATTCAGAAGCATTGATCAGGTGCAGCAGCGAGTTTGTGGTTGGCCCAGAAGCACTCGTGGTAAAGCTTAGCAGAGGGTCTCGGACACTGCGTTTCAGGTGGAGCTTTCTCATGGTTCTGACGGCACCCGTGTCTTCACCGCTGGGGGCGCTCACAGCAGCGAGCTGGCGGGCTTGAGAAACCCAAGACCACAATTAGGCAACATGTGCATCAGATTGTGCAAGCGTGTGGTTCTGATGCTGGCAGGCTTGTGTGTGGAATTACCGACACGCACGCCGTCCCGCCGCGACCGTGGGATAGCATGCACAAGCTTTGCAAACCCCCGTCGACGGCCCGAGGTCGAGCTTTGTTAGAAGCCACTTCCGGCAGGCCTCAGTGCTGCACAGACTATGTCTTGTGGCTTCTGCTGTTTGTCTGTGGATATCCACGCCGAATGGCTTTAATCGAGTGGTGGCAGGCGCTCCTGCTGGCTTCTTTGCACTCTACTCGGCCATACGGAATGCAAGCATCCTGGTTTTGCTAGAAGCAACCAAGGTCTGCTCTGCTTGCATTTCAAGAACGCACCGGTTTCTCTCCAGAAGCCGCGACTGGCTTGGAAGGCAGGGGAAGGGTGGCAAGCGCACACAGCAGAACATGGGTGTTTTCTGAAGCGAAGTTCTGCACCAGGGCCAGTGCCGCTTGTGATTTCTGCGATGCGGAGTGGCTTGCTAGGCCGAAAGGGCGTTCGGCATACAAATCATGTCAATGTGGCTTTGTTGGATCAATGGTGGCTCATGCGATTAATGGTGGCCCATGCAGGTGCACTGATGCTGGTGTGGCTTGTCTCCGTCTTGTTCTGCCTACTTGGCAGATACTCAGGCGCGCGGAGTAGGAAGAGCTGAGGTCCGTGGGCTTGTGTTGTTGTACGCCTGTTCTGACACATGAGATCCAGGACCCGAGGATAAATCAGAGTCGTGCCATCATGCTTTAATTGCAACCAAGTGCAAACGGGGTTCTCAAGTTCTCAGATTGCGGCCGTGTCCTTCAGCGGAGCCATAAACCCGAAAACCCTCGTGGCATTTCTAGTTCACCCCGAGCCGCACAATTTGCTAGCTTGCCAACTTGCATGTCGCAAAGCTGGAGCATGTGAAGTCTCCGTGCCGCTGTACAAGTCAGCCCCTGCGCAGTTCCGACAACAGACTCCAGCGGCTCCAGTCAGCACGTGGAGGGCTGACTGCTGAGGTGAGTAGAGTTTCGTAGCACTTTAATTTAACTTTACAGCGTTGCTCAGAGGGCACTGACGTCAGCGCACGAGCTTGTTCCGCTATCATACGCTTCCCTGTATCTGGGATATGAGGGGCGTCAGGGCTCCTCATCAGGAGCCCTCTGGCATATCTTTCAAGGCTAGCCTGCACAACGGAGACATGCCACAGTGCATGGCCTCAATGGTGCAAGGTCGTCTTCCTTCAATTTTTTTAACGTTATTTGGAATGCAAGATGCCCGCCTTGAATGGCAGCTGATATTCAAACGATACTGCTGAATACAGCTGCTGTACCAGCAGATGTATCAACCAGATGCGAACGCATGTGCACAAGGTGATGGTCTGCATGCTGCTATCTGTCGGCGGCAGTATGGCTTGAATTCATTCAGATGCGAGCAGCCATTCCGGTTTCAGGTTCGATGTGCAGACATGTCGGAGCTGTGTGCAGTCTCGACTGCAGCTGCAAACGGTTCCCGGAAGTTCCCAGGCCAAATGGGTCGTGAGGTATGCCAATGCATGCAAACTTTCATCTTGTTGGGATGCAGTGCATTGTCCGGTTCGCGCGTTGGCGTACCTACTCTAGCTGACGACTTTCAATTTCGACCGGCTCGCACAAAGTGACATGCTTGCTTGTGCGAACTGCAGCTTGAGTATAGTCACTGCAGCGAGCGAGAGAGAGAGAGAGAGAGAGAGAGTGCTGACATGTGCTGACTGTGTAAGAAAGAGTGCTGACTGTCGTGCCCTGATGAAGAGAGTGCTGAGAGCCAGAAAGATCAGAAGGTGAGTGCACTTCTTGACACATTGCGCATCATCTGGTTGCACAGAGTGGCAAGAAACATGTTATGTCCCGCCGCGATCTTCTCAAGGCCAGGATACAGATGGCGTGTAACGGGCTGAAGGTGGCGGTTGCCACATATAATCTTTACTGGTGGTGCGTGTCCAACAAGTTCGGGAACTGTCCACAATTTGCTTTTGGAACTGGCTTCACCCAGCTGTACCAGCGAATTTCGTCCAATCCAGTGGACCTAATCGGATTCCAGGAGTGTGAGAATGTGGAGCAGGTGGTGGCTGGTGCTGGGCCTGTGCTCTCCAACTTCGGCTACTACTCCACGCCATCCGGAAACGACGCTCCAATGGCTTGGAGCTGGGCCAGGCCAGGCCAAAGAGAGGGTCCGCGAGGGAAGTGCGAGCGCGACTTCAGAGTGAGAGAGGGAGTGACAGAGGGAGTTCAGAGTGAGAGTTGGCTAATTTAGGACTCCCTGCAGGTTCAAAGTCCTGGAGGGGCCGGCCAGCGAATGGATCGCACAAGACTCTTACAGCCCACGTTGGTTGAACTGGGTTCGGCTTCTGGAGTACAGCAGCAATACCGTGATCTTCTTCGCCAACACGCATGGCCCCCTTGGTCAGTGTACAGGCCGGTCAAACAAATCTTCAGATTGAAAAGAAGAGTTCAGGTCGGTCGAACAGGGAGAAGCGACGAGGTTTGTTAGGCAAGGTTCCAAGCTGGGAAGTGGAGTGAACTTAGCCTACGAGGAAAAGGCATGGCCGGCCGCTAGGGCCGCTATAGGGGCAGGGCTAGCGATCTGAATATACTCGGTTCGCCGACCCCCCCGACCCCCCATGGCACCCTCCCCCCCATCCGGCACGCCCACGTCCAAATGTTCCCACGTGGCGGCTCCAAAACCGTCAACTGTCACAAGGATCTCGTCCCAAACATACCCGATCCTAGTGACAGTGGACACTTTCCACCCAAGACTCGGCTATGATGGTATTGAAAACGCAACTGTCAAAAGGATCGCATTCCTGTCAGGCCCGCTTCCTGTGGCAGTTGACCCAAGAAAGGAACATGATTCATGGATGATGAGGATCACGATGAGGGTGACGATGGCGATGATGATGATGATGATGATGATGATGATGCTGATGCTGATGCTGATGATGATGACGATTTCGAACCAGCCAGGGCGACCCAAACCGCGAACCACAACACAAAGGGGGGTGAGAGCAGACCCAAACCCCGAACCACACCGCATCACAGGGCGGCGGGACTCCAAGCAGACCCAAATCCCGAACCACATTTGCACCGGAGGGAGCGCGAAGGGGTACCAACGATTGGGGGGGGGAGGGGGAGGGACCCGGCCGAACCGGGATCATATATAGAGTATAGAGGTTTCAGCCTCGTTGCGCAGGTGAGCGCGGACAACAAGTTGCAGATGCATATTGGAGGTCTATATGGAATCATAAAAAGGACAAGGACGTCGTGATTTTCACCGGGGATTTCAACTGCCGGATTTGGGATCAGACATTGGTGTCTTTAAGAGAGAAATTGGAAGATGCTGCTTGGGACACAGTGTTTCAAGGGGCGGACCACATCTTCGCAGGTCATGGAGTGGGGCTTTGCAGCCAGGAGAGTATTTTGGGTGCTCCTTCTGACCATCAGTTCCTAAAGGCCGTTCTGCTTCCGCATGGCGGGCCCGAACCACCGAAGCCGCCAGAGCATGAGAAGTCACAGAACAGGTCAGTTAATGCCACTGCCACGGATGGTTGCCCAAAGCCTCCTTCCAACGGACCCTGCTGCCACCACTGCAAAAGCAATCGCTTTTGTCCGGGCGACGGGGGCTGCTATGCCGAGGGCCAGTTGGGCTGCACTTCAGGAATCTGCGCTCCCAATACTGCCACCCAGCTGCTTCTCTGAGAACCTCTGAGCATCTGCACTCTCCGCGCATCATTGGCCTTTCAGCCTTTCCTGTAGATTCCGATAGCTTGCGCTTGTGCCTCCAAGAGGTGAGTCTCTGCTGACCTGCTTTGACAGCGGCCGAGGAGCGCGCAAAGTGGAGGGCTGAGGGCTTTAGACGTTCTCCTAGTGCTTTGTTTACATCTCCTTGCATGCTGAAATTCTTGGTGGCTTGCGGTGAATGCCTGCTGCCATGAGCTCAAGAGGCTTCGGAGCTCAAAGTCCCAACCCCGGCACCTGACAGGGAAGCGGAGACGACAATGGTGCTGGGATCTCTCATGGGAAGTGCGTATGCCGACGCTCATCCCAAAGCGGAGTGCAGCGTCCTCCTTTCGTCAACTGCTTTGCCCGATAGCCTCCCGAGGCCTACTCCTACAATCAGGGAAGATTCCAGTTCGATGCAGGCACGGCGATTTGATTAGGAAGTTACGTTGCAGTTCAAGGGAAGTGACAGTGGCTCGGAGGCTGCCGACTGAAAGTGTTGGCATTCCGTGGAGGTCAGAAGCAGACCTCCGCCCACCAGATGATCAACATGCGCATCCAGCAATGGCAGCTCTTCAGAGAGGAGCCTGACCATGCGACCATGCCCGACCCTCTGTCTCACAATTTTACCCTTAGAGATGCTTCGCTTCCGAGTGTTCGAGAGGACATCCGTGACCTTTTCAACCTGACCACCTCGCATATGAGCACCTACATGGTCATCGGGACTTTGTTTCTGGGCTTCAGCGTGAGCTTCATCTGGTACTGTCCGACCTTTCCCGGTCACCCGGCTTGGCTAAAGCTCCTTTGGGTGAACACATCAGCCGGGGCCTTGTGCTACTCCTTCCTTGCTGTGTGGCTGGCCATGCACGGTGCCATAGCGGCACAGTCTGCCAGTGTTCAGCTGCTGACGCGTGCGATCCGGCCACCGTATCCGACTGCTATGGAGCTGCAACGAGTTCAACATCAGCTGGCCCAGTATGAAGCCGCGCCTTCCAAGTTTTTCAGACCTCCTAACCTTCTCGGCCAAGATCGGCAAGGACAAGATGTCCCACCAGCACATGATCCTCAAAACCTTACTCTGCAAAGCACAGTGAACTCAATGCCTGGTGCGGTGCAGGTGCCAAGACAGGGCATTTTCGAGGGCACCCATAGTCAGATTGTGTGCACTTGCTCGAGTCCGAGCGAAGTTTTCAGGTTTCGGATGCAACAGCCGAAGAGGCAGCCCAAGCAATGGCGTTGCAGCAAGGCCCTTGATAGGGAAGCTATGAAGCGGAAGAGTGTAAGGAAGGGCTGCTTACACTTGCATTGCCTTTCTGACAGGCAGTGGGTGCAGCGATCCGGCAAATCCCTGGGAATCGGAACCTGGTCTGTCAGCCGAGCTGGGCATTCATGTGAAGCTTTTTCAGCAGCCATGATCTTAGTCAGCTCGCGTTAAGCTGAGCGCAGACAGAACGGCTAGGGTCGGCTAGAGAGCAATGAGAGCAGGACGTCCGAAACCAAGCCTAAACAGCAGTTTCTGGTGGGACACGAGGCTGCAAAATTCCTTTCTGCCGTTCGATGCCTATGCCCGAGTCTGCCTTATAGCATGTGCGAGCAACTTGATGCCTGCCCTTACATACTTTTGGATTGCGCACCAAAACTGGACTGATCCTGGCGCAATGCTTGCCACCGTAATTTGCTCCTGCGCTCTGATGTTCACCACCCTGGTGCTTTACAAGCTCGACTTCTATGTCGAGAAGCAGCGCATGCGGATCTACAAAGCTGTGGTTGTTTGCGCTCCGCTGGTCTCCTGTGCTGCAGTGCAGAGCTGGGCGCATGCCAGGCAGGTTGGTGGCGGGTGGCATGTTGCCGAAGAGCTCGTTCAGTGGCTACTGGTTCTCGCAACCTGTTTGCTTCATATTTTGTGGAAGCTCCTGTTCATCTGGGAAGCAAGGCCATCAAAGGCACGGCCTCCGAAAAAGATCATAAGATGAACTCTCGTTATTTGTGCTGTGTCCTGCACTTGGCAGGAAGACCTGGACCTACCCATGAGTTTCCGATCGGTTCGCTACTTGGACATCTTTGGCAGCCTTCGTCGCAGGCATTGGGGTCTTTTCTCGATCGCGATGGCGCATTGCTGGCACACTGGCACGTATGACATGAGTCGACACAGACACACCACAGGCAGGCCGACGAGCGGCGTCGTTTTGAGCAAGCGCTGCGGCAACGCATGCGGCTCGGCATGACTCGGCGACAGCGGTTGGTGCAGCACTGAGCAGCAGCTTGTTCGCTTGCAGCTTTGTACAGCTGCGCAGGCCAGGGAGCCAGAACGACGGCGACTCCAGCGAACCGTCGGGCCAGCTATCCGCCGAACAGGTCCTGGGCATGATCGAGCGGGTCTTGCTCATAAATCGGCCAGGGACTCAGTTGACTGTCGAGAATAGATGAGGACAATGCTGCTCCGCGGAGTACATGCAGTCTGGCAGGAGCTCGGACCAAGACCAGGACATACTGCGGTCGGACGAGGTTCTCTGTTTGTGTCTGATGGTAATTGTCGTGTCTTGTGTCTTGTCCGCACGCTCTTCAAAAGCCCTACTTGGTCAGCTAGCCGGGCCACTGTACCCGTACCAGGTACCAGGGTACAGGGCACAACACACTTGCATTGCAGCTTGCAGTATGGCGGTGGCAGGTGCAAACTCTGCAACGTTCCAGAGAGCGCTTGCTTGCGCTGGGCCCGCCGGGTCTCTCCGCCGAGGAGCCAGACCTGGAGATTTGGTAGAGGGCTCAGTCGTTACCGAGGCTCTGCTTGACACAAGAGCGGAGATGCTGCTTTTTGTGAGGTTCCAGCGCGAAATCACCACTGGCACCCGACGGCCGTTGGTGTTCTACATCAACCTTGACACGCAGCTTGATCGATTTGCATGTCAGCTTCGGACTTTGGCGGCTTGATGCTTCCAATCCAAGGTTCGAAACTGCCTGGGCTCCGAGTGCCCCACACCTCGACATCGCGACCTTGTTAAGAGAAGTGGAGCGACTCACCGGCCGACGTGAGCGAACCAGGCAAAGCATGCAAAGCGAAAGCGGGCGAGGCGTACAGCGCTTCGAAGTCGAGGGTGCTGAGCGGCAGGCCACTGTTTCCTATGCACTTGAGCGGGAAGCTTCGGAAGAATCTGGACCTTTCCGCTCCCTGAAGGTGCCACCCTCAGACGATGGCAGGACGAGCCTGGTCGACACGATGTCTGCAGCGCAGCGGCCATTCTTGCCCACAATGCGGAGGCCAGGATCCAGCGGCTTGTCTAAACGTGGCTGGATTACATGTCTGACCTTGCTGGGCGCTGAACACCAGTACGCAGAGGTCTTGCCTGGTCTTACCTGTGAGGACTCAGCTGGAGTTCTGGTTTACTTAACCCCCCAGCCTCCCCACCAAACGATGGATAAATCTCATTGATTCTGTGCAGATGCCGGGCAGGTGTTGCAGCGAAACTTGTCGCATAGGCAAGCCTCTGAGGCTGTCCCAGGCACCCAGGATTCCAGCATGACATGCCGCCATGCCGTTACTCTCCTTTCTGCTGCAGCTGTCGGCCCCCTCTTTGCCCCTGTTCGGACTTTTCACTACCGTTACTGGAGGCGCTATCGGCGGCCGACTACCTCCCGGCTGCAATTTTGGCGTTCGGGCCAGGCAAGCGGGAGCTTGAACTGACCCTAGCAGGCCCTAACAGCCCAAACCTAAGGCTCAAATCTTCAACCTCATCTGGTGACCTCTGCCAGCTTCGTCTTCGGACGGAATCCGAGGCCTCTCAGACCCCGTGCCACCTCCTTGCCCGCCCTTCCCTTCCGCCGCTCCCAGTGCTGCTGTTCTGCGGCTGCCAATCCTACCTCTGCGACCGTCGCCGTTGCCGCGACTACTGCTGCTGCTGCTATTCCTCGTGTCAGAAATCTGTGGTCGTTCGAATTCGCTGGGGAGCGTCGTTGGATCTGTTCCTTTGCCTTTTACAGTACAGTACCTGCGTGTAAGTGGTCTGAAACCTTTGCCTAAATTGGACATTGTGCCATGCGCTGGCACATGGTTGCAAACTGGTTGGCGATGGTCATCGTGTCTATGAGTCGTAGCCGTGGCCAATGTTTCTCCACTTGGGTTTCGCCGTGGTGGCCTGATGATTTTTATGGGCCTGGGGGGTCGTCAGGGTATCTCCGGTACTGATGCCTTCCTCTCATTCTGCCATCTGTGATCTTTCGACAAGTTGTGGGAAGGGGCTTCTTGAAGATTGAAGTGTTCGGAATCGACTACGTCTGCAGCCTTGGGCCCGAACTCCCACGCTGCAGGCGTAGTTTTATTTTTTGGTCTGCGAGGGGTCGGGCGCCATGACTTTCTTCGAGAGGTTGATGCCCCGGCTGGTGCAACTGCTGCAGGCAGAGGGGGTCGAGGATTCGTCTGATGTGGTCGGTATTATGACAACTCAGGAGGAGCTCTTTGCTGAAATTCAGATAATCCCGATCTCCATGTCAGCTTGCGCAGTTTAAGTCTCGTTGCAAACGTGTTGCAGTGAGGGAGGCTGAGGCTCGTACACGAACGGTGTCGGAAGCAACAGCATGCTGTCCTGTTTGGCCTGTCCAAGCTCGGTATCTTACTTCAGCTTGCCGGGGACACCGACCATTGCCGACCGCACTCTGTGCACCGCATCTCTTCCGAAGGCGACGCGCTGTCCATGCTTGACTTAGCTGCTACCTTGCTGGGTCCCCATCTTGATCTTTGCAGCTTAGTTTGCCACCTTTGTTGATGATCGGACTTTCGATGCCACAATGCTAGCGGCGAGCGACTGCATCTGTGTTGCCAATGCTCGGCGATCATGGAGTAGCTTCCTGAATTAATCTGCGCGAGAGCGATGCAAAGGCACGGTAGTACATACATTGTCATCGTACTGCTCCCGGCGCCGGCAGAATGACAAAGACAAAATCTTATCTCCCGCAACCAAATCTTCGTAACTGCCCCTTCGCATCACCCACGGCGATTTCTGTAGCAACAGGGTTTCCCCCGCTACAGGTTTTAAATTAAAGTTAAAGCAAGCTCGAAGCTCCATTTCGTCACTGTGCTGCCGGGCACATCTGGGCACATCCAGTGACTCTCCCACCAAACTAGCGTGATGATGCGTGGGCAACGGCCCCCTCGCCACCATCGCAATATCAGGGAGGCACGGATCTCCAGCAGTCATCTGGTCTTCTTTGCAGCATCGGGATGAAGCCGGTCGCTTGCCACCTTCTTGCCTTGAGTGCCCTCTTCAAAAGCGTCTTGGTTGGTCCAGAAAGAAGCCTCCTCATCGTTATGATCTTCAGGTCTTATCCAATCACTGTTTTGCAGAAGACGTCTCCTGCAAGCAAGCTGGCATTGATGGTTCATGACCTCGATTGCATTTTCTATCTCTTGGTTTGTCTCAGGTTTTGGCATTGCTTAAGCTTTTTCCCTAGGTGCCTCTGGGATAGCCAGGCTTAGCGCCGGTTGATGGGTTGTGCGTGCTTCTGCTCTTGTTCGGTTGCTTCGCTAACTTAGGCTTGCTTCGTGCCTTGCTTCTCCCTGCTTCTCTTGCAACGAATCTTTTGTCAACCCGCTGCCATGGTCCTCCCTCGTAGGCGGCAGCTGTCTGCCGCACCACATTGGTGACTGGCCCCCCTCAAAGTCCTGAGTAGTTTGATGGAGTGGAGGGCCTTCACCAGCTGTTTTTTTTCACACGGTTGCAAGCGGCAGTGTTCTAGTGTTCTGCCAGTGTGTAGTGTAAATGGCCTCAAAGAGACGAGGTGTTTGTACTGTAGGCGTTCTCTGCGTTGCGCACTGCATGTATCAGCCCAGGCCATGAACAGTCGAGCATGCCTTGGAAGTATTTCATGCAATTAACGCTGAGTCTTATCATGGCTTGGCTTGTCACCACGGTGTGACTTGCATGCCATAGCAGCGTCCGGACTGTGGGAAACTGTTTCTGAGTGCAACTTGAGCGATCTTCGCGGATCTGGCAGCCGAGGTATTGCCTGGTCCATCCGGACACCGGGACGAAGACCCAATTGATGCAGGTGAGATCGTGGCCGCACGACTTCTTCGAGTCAGCCCCCTATCTCCTTGCAATTTGTGAATTGCCCATTGGGCTGTCTGCAGAATCGTGCTGATGTGTTGCGGAGCACGGACACATAATGAAGCATTAAGCCTCGAAGCTCTGGAAATGCAGTTGCTGCTTTCGTCTTGTCCAGTGTCTGTGAGATTCTGTGAGGGTCATGTTGTTGCACCGTCTTGAGACGTGCACGCGAAAGAGAGGCGTTTGGGACACCGGATGAATCAATTTATCAGGAAAGCTGGCTCCTTGGAGCTTGCGGGAGTTCTTGTTCATCGGGGGGGCGGTGGGGACCCCCTCCCCACCCTCCCCTTGTTGTCCGATGAATCGGATTGCTTTTCCGATTAGGTAGGGCGTCCCCCCTCCCCCCACTTTGGCCTTCGTTCCTGATGGGGTCGGGCAATTGCATGTGCTGGGGCGAAGCTCTGACAGAACAGACGTTGAACAGACTGCTTACTCCGGAGACAACCACATCGACAAAGGCATGCTGTTCTAACACGTGCTGGCGCGAAGCTGGATACAGAACAGACATCGTGCCGTGATATCTCAACTGCAAGCAGCATCGGGTTGCATTCGCGAGACAGCGACGAGACAGTCACATTGAAATATTCATTCCGCTTTTAGCAAGACTGGCGCCAAGTCTCACGCGGAATTTTCTTGTGGATCGCCGTGTCAATAAGCAATCCGCGAAGCACAGCCCGCGCCGAGCCTTGCAAGGGTCGCATTCAAAGAAGGATCTGGGCAGTAAACCGCGCCCCCAGCTTTCGTCCGCCCTGCTCTCAAGTCTTGCCTGAGCACTCTAAGCGTTTGTTAGATCTGTGACGCTGAGAACAACCATGTAGCATGCAATAGATCCGCAACTGTTGACTGGGGGCATGGTGCCGGAATACTCTGACATAAGGCCAGTGGCGATGTCCTGTGTTGGCGACCAATTTTTCCTAGGCCTGGCATCTTCGGAGCTGCAGACTTTGTGGTGTCTGAAGTTTACAGCCTGTCTGCTCGTGCCTCCAGGTGACAGGTTTGGAATGTATGCAGCGAAAATGGCAGCCACAGGCGAGCCTGGAAGTTTCGAGGCGGCACAGATCGGAACCGGACCTGAGCAGAACGGCCACGGCCATATGCCATGGGCCCCGTTTGCAAGCGTCGCGGCTGTGAAGTCAGGGCCTACTCAAATACTGGTGCTTCAGCATGACGGCCGTGTCATATGGGAGCTGCACAGGAACTACAACAAGATTTGGAATATTTCTTCACGTCTACCTGAGCCTGTGCGCGCCATCGCTGTGATTGGAGAGGATATGGCTGATCATGAGTGCGCTGGATACGGAGAGCAGCCATGGGGCATCCTGGCTTCGAGCTGGGCCGGTGAAACTCTGGTACTGTGCCCGAAAGATGGCACATTGCACCCAAGGCGGCTTCGCTGAGACATGTAGTCCGAGTGCGTCCGAGCACACTGCTGCGTAATGTCCAACCTGTGCACAGCAGGCGCCGGATCTCGAAAATGGAAGTGCATGGCAGAATGGTGGAAGCCATCGGAATGCATCTGACGGCTACGAGCCTTTGGGTTCTTGCCAAGAGTGTTGAAGATGGATCCAGCTGGCTCGTAGCTTGGTCCAACTTGATCTACCCTGCCACCCTGAATCTGCCACAATGGTCAGACCCAAAATGGGTTGTGTGCGGCTGCCTATCGGCCATTCAGGGCTCAACGTCATTAGACGAGAGAACTTCGATCTTTGAGCAGGCACAGCTATGTAATCGGTCCGATTCAGCATGAATCAGCCAGATGCTAACTTTCACTGATCGTCGGATTCAAGTGGGTAAAGCGGAGATCAGCAAGATTCGGAGCGGGGGTTTTCGTGTGAGGTGTGCGTCGCTGCGTGATAATCCTTGTCACGCCAGATCCCACGTTGATAATAGATCCGAGGTGCGAAATCCATGCTGAGACACGAACGACATAAACTTTTAATCAACAGACATTGACCTCAATGTCCGCATACTCGAGATAGCCGCAGTCGGCGGATCCTGCTCAATCAGTTAGATCTAGAAGCACTTTGGGCATCTGTGCCAAGTAAATGTATCAGAATGTAACCGCGTAGCCTCCTGCAGGCCAAACGGCTTTACAGTCGTAGGAATTTAGTGACCCCTAAACTCGCGTTCAGGGGCGCGTTCGCTTTCCGAACTCATCGCGCATTCAGAAGTACTCTCTTAACTCAAACGGTAAGTATCTGTCCTGCATGTAAGGGGAGTCTGGGAGGATGGAGCGATACCATGTACATATAGTCAGTTTTGCAATACAGACAATACAGCCTTGCGAATCACCCATTCTACCCAGTCAAACCCCAAGCATCCCATGACCTTGAAGCGTGAACCCTACTACTGGTACCAAAGGCTCAACAACCGACGAGCTCGGAACCGCAAACGATGTTAGGGTGTGGGGTTGAGGTTTGAAGTCAAGGCTTTAGTGGCTCAGTCAGCAAAAAACATCCCAAAACGCCGAAACACCCTGAGTCTGCCTGTTGTTGTAGTCGGCCTGCTGAAAGGTCCGCACACAGACTCGCGCACCCACGCACACACTGAAGAAGTGTTGTCTGCATTCCCGCAAGGGGTGTTGCTCTAGATAAAGACTGTGTCAGGTCATGAAATCGGAGCATATTGGCATATTGGAGCCATCATGCCTGAAACAGATTGCTGCAACCGTACATGTAGGCGAACACTCTGCAGAACTGAGGCTGACGCATGTTTTCAATTAGAGTTACGTTTGCACAGCGGCTATATCAAAGGATGAAACCATGCACAGTGCATACGATTAACATGTCACAAGCTTTGTTGCAGGTACAGGATCAAGCGTCCTTGATCCCTTCCCACCTGTGGCAATAGCGTCGTTGCGTGCAGTATGCCAATGGTGCTGCACGCCCCTGCTGAAATGGTGTCATGAAAAACAAGGGACCTGGCTTCCATGAACGAGGACCGTCCACACACACACACACACATATGCACACGCACACGCACACGCACACGCACACGCACACGCACACGCACACGCACACACACACGCACACACACACACACACACACACACACACACACACACACACACACACACACACACACACACACA